AGTGAATGAGAGTGGGTCAGAGGGCCCTGAGGTCATGCCCTCTCTGGGTAAAGGAGAGTATGACAGGGTCTCAGGTCCTGTCCTCTCTGGGTAAAAAATAGTGGGACAGAAGACCTGGGATCACACTCTTTCTGGTTGAAGGAGAATATGACAGAGGACCTCAAGGTCATGCCCTCTTTGGATGAAGGAGAAAGTGACACAGAGGGCTAACCCTGTCTGGGTGAAGCTGGTGACTCCATCTATTGTCTCACCAGGGCACCTTGTACTTTAGGGACTGAATACAAAGTTGGCCTCTGTCAGTATACAGAGTAACAGGAAGAAGTAGTATGGAGGTCTCCCCAACATGTAGAGAGCAGGTGCTTTGTTCCGTGTCCTGTTTCTGTGCTCCCTGCTGAAGGTAGGACTTTTGTCTTCCTCTGCTGTGGAGTTACCTAGTCTGAGTTTTTTACCTGGATGGGTTACCCAGACCTTTATCTCCAAAGAAAGAGTCTGTGATGGTTTTGCCTCTTTTGCCTGCTTTTTTTTGAGACAGGGTCTTGCTGTATAGCTCAGGCTGGCCTTGAACTCTTAATCCTTGTGCCTCAGCTTCCTAAGTGCTGGGGTTACAGGTGTATACCACCATGTCCACCTCTTCCATTAACTTTCTCTCTTTTTTTTTGTCAGTACTGGGGATTGACAAAATCCCCAGTACTAGGCAGGCGTTCTACCACTTGTGTTACTCTACCACCCCTTTTTCCATTAACTTTTTCACTTGGAAATGAAAACACTACTGAGACTCAGGACCCTTTGGACTGTCAGCATTGTTTTTCCAGGGTATGGTGGCAACTTGGTTTCTCTTTAGGAGACAGATTTGGCTTCGCCAGCCAGGGCTGGTGCACTAGGAGATCATGGGATGGTGGCTCTCTCAGTTGTCTCATGTCAGAGTAGTGGCCATGTGCTGGTTAATACGTTCTTGCCTTGGCACTAGGACTCCCAACAGCAGAGTTCACAAAGGTGAAACTGAGGGCAGCTACTTGGATAGCACTGCACGTTTTCAGACCTGTGTGCTCTGCTGTGTAGGTTGGTGTCTGCACACAGTATGCAGTGCATCTTGGAAGGTTGAGGCCTGGCTTTGGGGTCTTTCTCTCAGCTAGTGCTCCAAGTGCTCAGGAGGCATACTGCCATTCTGCTCTGACTGAAGAGAGAGTAGAAGGCCATGTCCTGCTGAATCGATATAAATATGTCTTCTGTTCATCTGTTGGTTGACTGAGTGAACAATTAGTTGATAACCAAGTCCTAGGTTGGGGTTTTGGTGCCAGTGTGCTGTGTAAAACTGTGTCAGCCTCAGGGCTTTTTCCTTCTCAGTCCCTTGGACTGAGACACTCCCCAGAGCTATAAGTCTGGGCTAAGGGAGGCAGGCAGTTAACCAGCCCCTAGTGGGAGGCATCTGCCTATGGTTTAGGCAGTTTCCCTGTGCTGTACCTACTTTTGCTCTACTCACCTTTGCTCTACTCCTGCTTCTCTACCATTTCCCCTGATGAAGCTGCCACCACAACCACCCATCCTTGAGGCTTGGCCTGCCAGGTAATACTCAGTTCATGGTAAGGGCAGGTTGCTTGTTGCTTCATGTCCTCAGCCAGGTGCTTGCTCCCTGACAAAGGCTGTTTCCTTCAACAGGAGAGCAAAACTTTCTTCTACTAAAGATGTGGGTTCAGAAGAGACTGGAGCTGCTTCTGAGCTGTTTGTTGCTTTAGGCCCCTATCTCCTTAGACACAGGAGGGCACTTGCTTCCACTGGTGAGTGGCCTCAGAGGACCACACCACACCCAGCTTTGTCCAGCTTCCCTAGATAGCGCAGTCTGTACTAATTTCACATGAGAAGTTTTGTGGGTTCACACATTGTAACATTAAGCCTTAGGCCTGTTTTCAGCAAGGTTGGCCCATGAGTTCACAGGAAACAAGATCCTCTGGGGTCTGCCTTGGAAGTGTTCTGTTGTCTGTCAGCTCCAGGCAGTCACCATCAAACCTATAGGGGTTTACCCTGGCTGCCAAGGGCCTGAGGCCTCCCTGCATCCTCACACTGCAGAGCTTTGTTATTTGCTCTCTATTTAGAGCTATTTGGTAAATTGTGTCTGAAGAAAGGACTCTGCTGCTTAAAACAAAATCTTAGATGCTTCTGAACGACATGATGTTGCAACTCTCCTGAGGCATCTCCTCCCCTGATGTCACTCTAAGTGCTTTTGAGACAGCCAGAATGTGGGGAAGCCAGGCAGTGCCCTTTGTTCTCTTAGTTAATGCTCAGTCTGCCTCCAGGTGCACAGCAGCCTCCCAGGCCAGTTTCTGTTTTCTGTGCTCTCTCTGCTCATCCCAGCCTGCCCCACCAGCCTTCCTTGTGGATGCATGCTTATCTTGCATGCAGCTTGTTTTTTAACAATTTCCAAACATTCCGGAAGTATGGATCGTGCGCAGCGTTCTTTACCACCCTCTGCCCTAACAGGCATAACTGTGCCTTCTCCAGCCTACCCTCAGCTTCGGTTGTCATGTGAAGCAAATCCCATGTTGATCCACTCTGCCAGCCTTGTTTTATGTTGGGTTTTTTTTGAGATAGGTTCTTGCAAACTAGTTGCCTGGGCTGGCTTGGAACTGTGATCCTCCTGATCTCTAGAGACCTCCCGAGTAGCTAGGATTACAGATGTGAGCCACTGGCATCTAGCTCCCCATGCTGTTTTTAAAAGCATGTTCCTTTAAAAAAGTATGGATATTTTTACCTACAACGTACCATGCCACATCTGAAGGAATAGTGATGTAATGGCAATGTTTTAATATCACTAAATGTCCCGTGCTCACATCTTCCTACTTGTCTTGTCAACACACCACATGCACACATGTGCACATGCACAGGCACATGCACAGTAGTGTGAATCAGGGTCTCAATAAGTCTGAGTGCTGCACTTGATTGTTGAATCTTTCCTTGAAAGAGTTAGATCAGTTCTCTGGACTGCCCACTGCAGCCATGAGGTTATTTACTATGGGTCCTCTGTTTCCTAGGTTCTTTTTTATAACTTGGAAGGTAGATTTGGAGGCCCTATCAAGATTGGATGGGTTTTGTTTTTGTTTTTGTTTTTTTTCAGAATCAATCAGGTTTGACACCTGCCTAGCAAGCACAAGGCCTTTAATTCAAACCCGTTTTTTTTGTTTGTTTGTTTTTGATACTGCTTTTGGTATGGAAGTATTGGTGGCCATATGTCAGGAAGCAGAGGCCCTCTCTGCTCCTGGTTGGAGGTGAGCTTGAGCAGTGGTGGATTGTCCTTGTTAGGGTTCTCCACAGCTTTCATCTATTGCCTTGAGCAGAGGTGGGTGACCCATGCCTGCATCCTTTATGTCACTGGGGTAGGCACAGTGGCTGTCTGCTTTCTTACCAGAGTTCTTCTAAAGAGAGCATTCTTAGAATACTATTGGTTATATTGAGTTTATTCAAGAAAAAATGGGTACTTGATTGTTCTCCTTAATTGCCAACTTTCAGAATAACAAGTTGGCTCTCCAGCTTTCTACAAAGATAGCTAGTAGTATTTATTCACTTAAGATTTAAAAAAAATTTTTTTTTCTAGTTCTGGGGATTGAATCCAGGGCCTTACATATGCCAGGCAAGTGCTCTCACAGTGAGTTACACTCCCAGCCCCAATTTTTAAAACTCTTTATCTTTTTTAAGAGTCAGGGTATCTGTCACTATGTTGTTAAGACTGGCCCCAAATTCCAGAACTCAAGTGGTCCTCCTGCCTCAGCCTCCCAAGTAGCTGGGGACTACAGGTATGTACCACTGAGCCTGGCTTATGGTCTTTTTTTTTTTTTTTTTAGCATTGTTATGAATTCCTAGATATTACAGTACTTCATGGATTTAAATATATAGCAAGTGTTTTGTGGTGCTGGAGATTAAACTTGGTCTCATACATTCTGGGACAAGCACTTCAATCACTGAACCACATTCCTAGCCCTGCATTACAGTATTTACATTCCCCTTATACATAGTTTTGCTTTTTTGTACTTCAGTTACCCATAATCAACCCCAGCTTGAAAATATTCAATAGAAAATTCCAGAAGTAAATAATTGTTATAAGTTTAAGTTGCATGACATTCTGAGTAGCATAGTGAAATTTCATGCTGACCTGCCCAGACATGAATCATCCTTTGTCTGGAATATCTGTGTTGCTTGTCCTGCCTGCCTGTCAGATGGGCTGTTGTGCTGTCACAGTATTTACATATGGGTTTGGTGCTGTGAACTGTTTCAGACAACCACTGAACATCTTGGAATGCATCCCCCAAAATAAGGTGTATTATCTGTGTTCTTACTGACTTTCAAACTATCCCATCATTGTCCTATAGGAGTCCATTCCAGTTTACTTTTGACTTTTTTTTTCTTTTTTTGAAGTTTCAGGTGTTTTTAAGGGGAAACGTAATTATGAGGTCTTTTTGACAGTAGTCATTTTTTTATTTTTAAAAATACATTTAGTAAGTCACATAGATCTTAGTTGTATAGTTCGATGTCATTACAAGTGCACTTATGTATGTAATTCACACCCTACAATGTGAAACATTGCTGTTACCCAGAAGACTACGATAATTTCCTGCACAGTACCTATTCTCTGGCAGTCACTGTTCTGACTCCTTTTACCAAGATTAGTTTCTCGTTCTCAAACTTTACATATATGGAACCGTACAGTGGTGGTTCTTGAGGATTGGTTTCTTTTGCTTAGCATGTTCTTGAGGTTCAGTTGTGTTGTTGCCTGTGTCCTGAGTCCTAATGTATGATCCTAGTGATCTTTCCTATATGCTAAGTTCTCTGCTTCTGTTCTTTGTGTTGGCTCCTGACGTGAAAGGACCCACAAAAGGAGTAGGTAGGTCTGTAGCCCTTGACTGTCACTAAGGAGAGTTCATCTTACCCTGTTGGCAGCAGCATGCTCCTGACACAGGCACCTACTTTTATTTCCCTTTTTTGTGACTCTTTTCCTGCTTGACCTTTTGTAGCCCTTGAGCATGTTCCAAACTCAGTTCGCTTGTGGAAAGCAGCTGTTGAGCTGGAAGAGCCTGAAGATGCCAGAATCATGCTCAGCCGAGCTGTGGAGTGCTGCCCCACCAGTGTGGAGGTGAGTCTGTGAGGCTCAGGTCCACCACCCCCACCAAAGAAGACCTAAGTCAAGTGGCATGTGTGGAGCCTTGTGCCCACCCAGGCTACAATTAGAACGCAGTGTGAGCCAGGCATCACCAGCTCACATCTGAAAACCTAGCTACTTGGGAGGCTGAGATGTAAGGATCACAAGCAAGCAAATAGTTCTTGAGACCCCCATCTCAAGCAATGGTTGGGGGTGATAGTGTGCACCTATCACCCCAGCTATGTAGGAAGTATAAATAGGAAGACTGCATTCTAGGCTAGCCTGGGCAAAAAGCAAGACCCTATATCCAAAATAGCCAGAGCAGAAAGTGCTTGAGGTATACCTCAAATGATAGCTAGTGTGCCTTCCTAGCAAGCATGAAGCCCTGAGTCAAACCCCAGTACTGTCAAAAAATAAAAAGAAGGTGGGAATGTGAAATCCAGGATGCTGCCTTGCAGTAGCTGCCAGGCTGGGTGACAGGTGGCTTTAGTCAGTCATGCTGCTTAGGAAAGTGCTGTGCAAGTAGTAGGTGCAATGCAGGAGGCAAACATGAAGAACCAAGTCTTTGCTCATCTCTGGTCTTTGCAGAAAATTGCACTATGCACTGTTAGGGCCATTCTTTCTATTGTAGCCAGAGTTTGAAAGAGGTTTCTGAAGGGTGACAGAATGGTAGAAAACATTTCTCTGTCTTCCTGCCAACCCATGTGGGGTCAGTTCTGCCCCAAAACTGTTGGGATTTCTTTAGTGTAAGCACTCCAGTTCACAGATTTCTGTGCAGTGATTTCTGGTCTTGGTCTTATGATACCTAGTATGTCTTTGATTATCCTAAGGGGTATTGTGAAATTCTCCAAACAATTAATCTTATTTATATAAAAATAGAGGGCTGGAGCCTTGCTAGGTAGAGTGCCTGCCTAGCAAACATGAAGCCCTGAGTTCAAACCCCAGTACTGCCAAAAAATATATATATATATATTGCCCATGCACATTTTTGGAATGGAATATTGCAGAATCAGTAGTGCTAGGGAATGAGGATTCCAGAAGACTGAGCACCCATCTGTGCTTGAATCCATTCTGCTTGATTTCTGCCTCAGCATTTGCTGTTGAGTCTGGTACACCTAGTCATTTATTTATATACTTGTTTTGGCAGTACTAGGGTACCTCCAGGGCCTCAGGGCCTCCTGTTTGCTAAGATGATGCTCTACCAGTTGAGCCGTGCTTCCAGCCCTTTTCGCTTTAGTTATTTTTCAAATAGGGTGTCACACTTTTTGCCCAGGGCTGGCCTTAGACCACAATCCTACTTATGTCTCCTGTATAGCTAGCATTAGGGGTGTGTTCCTCCATGTCTGCTGGTACATTGCATGTTTAACCAGTGCTTGGAACCTCTGATCAAGAGTCCCACTAATCTTTTGTGCTAACCAGGGTTAGTCACTAAGTTAGAAGCATAACTGAACAGCTGGGTGAGAAATGCTGCTGTGAGTGTCTTGTAGGCTTTTCTTTAAATGGTCCTTGAGAGTTTTTAGAAGGCATTTTGTGGAGGTGCTGTGGACCATTGAAGTTGGCTTGCTATCTGATCTGGAGGACAGCACTTAGTGCTATCAGCACCCAGCACACTGTTCTCCCTTCCTCTGATGTCTTCTCTTTGTAGCTCTGGCTTGCTCTGGCGAGACTGGAGACTTATGAAAATGCCCGCAAGGTCTTAAATAAAGCACGTGAGAATATTCCTACAGACCGGCACATCTGGATTACAGCTGCCAAGCTCGAGGAGGCCAATGGGAACACACAGATGGTGGAGAAGATCATTGACCGAGCCATCACCTCCTTGCGGGCTAATGGTGTAGAGATCAATCGAGAGCAGTGGATCCAGGTAGGCTGCTGCCAGGTGTCCTAATGCCTACTTTAAAACCACACGTGGTTGGGCATGATGGTACATGTCTAATCCCAGGAGGCTAAGGCAGGAGGATTGTGGACTGGCCTCAAACTTGGATACTCCTGCCTCAGCCTCTCACAGTTGTTGATTTTTATCTTTTTTTTTTTTTTTTTTTTTGCAGTACTTGGGTTTGTACTTACTCAGGGCCTCCACCCTTTTTTTGAGATAGGGTCTCATGAACTATTAGCCTGGGCTGGGTTCAAACCGAAATCCTCCTGATCTCTGCTTCCTGAATAGCTAGGATTACAGGCATGAGCCACCAGATCCTGGCTTGTCATTATTGTTTTTGAACAGTTTGGTTCTGATGTTCTTCGTACAGTTTCCTTTGTGTTTTTTGTGCTCAGGGTTCTTTGAGCTTCTTGGTTTATAGATTTCATCAGATTTGGAAAAATTTTGGCCACTATTTCTTCAAATAACATACCTTTTTCAGCATCCCTTTTGGGTGGGGGCATTGCCTGCATGCCATTTGCATACTCTCACACTTTATTGATGTGCTGCTTTTTTTTTTTGTGGTACTGAGGATTGAACCCAGAGCCTTGTGCATGCTAGGTAAACACTTAACCACTGAGGTACATCCCAAGCCCATTATTTTAAAAATAATTTGTGTTTCATTTTTGACAGTTTATAAAGCAACAATTAACATTCTACAATTCACTTTTTTTTTTTTTTTTTTTTTTTTACAGTGCTAGGGATCAAACTCAGAGCCTTGCACATACCAGGCAAACGCCCTACTACTGAGATAGATACATCCTCAAACCTGTAAAATTCACTCTTTTAAACTGTATAATTCAGTGGTTTTTAGTATATTCAGAGTTACACAACTCTCATCATAATTTTAGAATTCTTATCACCCATAAAGAAATCCCGTGCCCTTTAGCCATCAGTCCCTCTCCCCCAGTCCTGAGTAAGCACTTTTTTCTCCATGGACTTGCTTTTCTACTTTTCCTCTCTATAATAGTGTTTTTTTGTGACTAGCTTTTACTTAGTATGTTTTCATGGCTCATCCATATTGTGCCATTAGATGTATTGAAGTACTTTACCCACTTTTAAATTAGGTTATCATAATTGTTCTCAGCCATTTGTGATTTTTTTTTTATTACTGTATTGTATTGAGTTGTTGTAAGAAGGTTTTTGTTTATTTTTGTGGTGCTGGGAAATGAACCCAGGGCCTGTGTATGGCAAGCAAGTGCTTTATCGTTGAGCTATACCCTTAGCTACAAGTTCTTTATATTATTCTGTATATCAGCCACTTACCAGATATATAATTTGTAGGATTTTCACCCATTTTGTGGGTTGTGTTTTTTGCTTTTTTGGTTGTATTGCTGGGGCCTGAGTATGCAGTTTGGTGATAGAACTCTTGCCTTGCATGTGTGAGGCTCTGGGTACAATCTTCAGCACTGCCCCCCCCCCAAATTGATTATATTGCTTATAGCACAAATATTTTAAAATATATATCAAAATTATATATTTTTTTCATAATGTTCTGCAATCAGTATTATGACATTGTATGGCTTCTCTCTGCACATCGAAAATCTGCTTTCCTAAAATCAGGAGTACTTTACAAACACTGGCTGTCCTGCCCACTAGAACACCTTTGTGTTTGGTCATCTCCCCCCATACCCTGGGTTTCTGTTTCACCTCCTGTGCACCAGGCTCCCCACCTGACTGTTCTTCCTATCTGGGTCAGAGCATTTCCTCCTTTTACTGATTTTGACTCTTGAGTTCCAGCCTAACAGATAAACGTATTTTCAAATTTGGCTTTTACTCCTACTACTTTGGAAGTTTTTTTTTCCTTGGGGAACTGGGGTTGAACTCAGGACTTAATGCCTGCAAAACAGATGCTCTATTGCTGGAGCCACACCTCCAGGCCATTTTGCTGTGGTTATTTGGAAGATGGGGTCTCACAAACTATTTGCCTATGCTGACCTCTAACTTTGATCCTCCCAATCTCAGCTTCCCAAATAGCTAGGATTATAGGTACCTGCCTGGAAGTTTCCTTAGCATACCTACCTCTTATAGCCACTGAGTGGCTTAATAAAACCCTTTGTATACAGTACTCAGGATTTGTTGAGCACTGAAGTGCTGGATGGAAAGGATGGTGTATCAGTGAACAGGATAGCATGATAGACAGGCTGCTCAGGGCCATCAGGTTGCATGCCTGTCAAACCAAATATCTTAGTTCTCATCACTAAGAATAGTGTGCTCCTTTTTCAGGCACTTGAAGCTCTGACTTCAAAATTCGATAAACAGAATTTTTGTGTCCCTTTTTCAGGATGCTGAGGAATGTGACAGGGCAGGGAGTGTGGCTACCTGCCAGGCAGTGATGCGGGCCGTGATTGGTATTGGGATTGAGGAGGAAGATCGTAAGCACACCTGGATGGAAGATGCTGACAGTGTGAGTTTGACTCTGTGGGCTTTTGTCTCTGACCTGGAACCTTATAAGGAATAGCAAGTCCCTTAGACTATGAGGCTGTTTTAAAAGTCTCATTTTAAATGTAATTGCAGTTGTAAGGATTACAGTTTTCTCTGACCCTGAGTTTAAGTGAAGAGCTAATATTTGAATGTTTACTGAATCAACCAGGAGCTCTGAATGCTACCTAACATCACACAGCAGGTAGACCAGCCTGGGAGCCAGGTATGGTTGGACTATAACTTTCATAGCTTTTTACCTCAGCAACATCACGTTCTTTCCCATTCCCTGGTTTCTGCTATAAATTTGATTTCAGAAAACATTTCGCATATAAGGCTTTTGCCTCCTCTGAGATTGTTTTCTCAGAATAGGTTTCCAGAGGAAAGATTATAGAGCCAAATTGATAAACATGTTTAAGATATTTGATACAGATGTGGCTCTGTCTTTAGCTTTTTATTTTTAAAACAAAGGACAAAGTATACAGAACAATTTAACAGGTATATATAGTGTCTGTATTGAGTGAAAATTGCTTGATATGTGAAAGAACACATAACCTGGAAGTGGAGCCTTCTTTATTCTGAATGCAGAGTTACAGGCTTTCCTTCTTTTTTATTTTTTTTTTTTTGGGCAAATCTGAGCCTCATCCTATGGATACCAAAATGTGGGAGCAGAAGACTAAGAATCATTTTAGGTTTTTTTTCCTGTTACTTTTTTTCTTTTTCTTTAATTTTTTATTAATATATATTACTTGAACAAAATAATGGGTCTCAGTATGACATTTTCATACATGTATATCATTAATTTGATCATATTAACTGTCCATTGTCCCTTCTCATCCCTGGTCCCACTGGCTCCCGTCGTCTTCCCAAATAGCCCCACTTCTTCTTTCATGTCTATTTTTTTTAAATCTAGATTCCACATGAGAGAAAGCATGCAATGTCTTTTTGGGTCTGACTTAACATACTGATGTCCATTTGCATTCATTTTCCTGCAAATGACCTAGTGTCATTCTTCTTTATGGCTGAACAAAATTCTGCTGTATTTATGTACCACATTTCCTTTATCCTTTCATCTGTTGGTTGATACCTAGGCTGATTTTGTAACTTGGCTATTGTGAATGTGCTGCAATAAACATGAGTGTGTAGGTGTCTCTATTGTGATTCCTTTGAATATATACACAGAGGTGGTATAGTAGGATCTTATGGTAGCTCTAATTTTAGGGATTTTTTTTTGTGTTTTTTTTTTTTTTTTTTTGCAGCAGGGTTTGAACTCAGGGCCTCATACTTGCTAGGCAGGCACTCTTACCACTTGAGCCACTCTGTCAGCCCTTTTTTTGTGTTGGGTATTTTTGAGATAGGGTCTTGTGAACTATTTGTCCGGGGCTGGCTTTGAACCATGATCCTCCTAATCTCTGCCTCCTAAGTAGCTAGGACTACAGGTGTGAGCCACTAGTGCCTGGCCTAATTTTAGCTTTTTGAGGAACATCCATAGTGATTTCCATAGTGGTTGTATTAATTTTGATTCCCAACAATTAGAAGGTTCTTCTCTACCTCCATCCTTGCCAGCATTTCTTGTCCCCAGTCCATCCATGTATCCCCTCATTGAACTTCAGGCTTTAAATGAGTCATGCCCCCAGGTTTTTTGTTTGTTTGTTTGTTTTTTTGGCAGTACTGGGGTTTGAACTTAGGGCCTTATGCTTGCTAGGCAGGCAGTCTATCACTTGAGTCATGCCCCTAGCTCTTTTGTGCTTTAGTTATTTTTCAGAAAGGGTCTCCCATTTTTGTTCAGGGTCAGCTTCAGAAAGCAATTCTCCTAGCTGGGCACCGGTGGCTCACGCTGTAATCCTAGCTACTCAGGAGGCAGAGATCAGGAGGATTGTGGTCCGAAGCCAGCCAGGCAAATAGTTCTGCTAGACCCTATCTCGAAAAACCTTTCACAAAAATAGGGCTGGTGGAGTGGCTTACAGTGAAGGCCCTCAGTTCAAGCCCCAGTACTGCAAAAAAAAAAAAAGCAATTCTAACTATACTTCCTTCATAGCTGGGACCACAGGTGTGTACCAGCTTGTTGGCTGAAATGGGGTCACACTAACTGTTTTGCCGGGACATAGTAGCTTGGATTATTTGCATGAGTCATGGCACCCAGCCCTCAGTGTAGGATGGCTAAAAATTTTTTCATATATTTATTGGCCATTTGTACTACTTTTATTTTTGAGAATTGTCTATCCAATTGGTTTTTTTCCTGGTACTGGGTTTATGCTCCTGTTCAGTTCATTTGCCTATTTATTGATTGGATTGTTTGTTCTTTTGTGTTTAATTTTTTTTGAGTTCTTTATATATTCTAGATATTAATTCCCTGTCAAATGCATAGTTGACAAAACTCCCATTCTGCAGGTCTACTCTTCACTCTGTTTTGTTTCTTTTGCTGTGTAGGAGCTTTTGAATTGATGCAATCCCATTTGTTACTTCCTGCTATTATTTCCTGTGCTGTTAAGAGTCCTATTGAGAAAGTCATTGCCTATGCCTTTGTCTTGAATTATTTTCCCTATGTTCCTCTAATAGTTTCAGCGTTTCAGGGCTTACATTAAGGTCTTTGATCCATTTTGAATTGATTTGTGTATAGAGTGAGATATAGGGGATCTAGTTTCAGTCTTCTACATATGGTTATGCAGTATTCTCAGCACCATTTGTGGAAGAGAGTGTCTTTTCTCCAACGTGTGTTTTTGGTACCTTTGTCGAGAATGAAGTGGGTATAGCTATGTGGGTTTATTTCTGGATTTGCTGTTCCATTGGTCTGCATGTCTGTTTTTGTTCCTGGGATCCTATGGTATAGTTTGAGTCAGGTTTTGTGATACCTCCTTCACTGCTCTTTTTACTACTAGGATTGCTTTGGCTATTTGAGGTCTTTGTACTTCCATATGAATTTTAGGAATGTTTTTTCTACATCTGTGAAGAATGTCATTGGAATTGTGATGGATATTGCATCGAATCTATAGATTGCTTTTGGTAATGTGGCCATTTTCACAACACTAATTTTGCTAATCCATGAACATGTGGAGGGTCTTGGTATGTTTTAGTGTTGTCTTCAGTGTCTTTCTTCAGTGTTTCAAGGTTTTCATTGTAGAGGTCCTTCACTTTCTTTGTTATGTTTATACTTAGGTTGTTTTGTTTTGAAGCCATTGTGACTGGGAATATTTTCCTGATTTCGTTCTCAGCATGCTTGTTAATTGCTATTTAGGAAATCTACTGATTTTTGTATGTTAATTTTGTATTCTGCTGCTTTGCTGAAAGTATCAGATCTCAGAGTTTTCTGGTAGAGTCTTTAGGGTCTTTTAAGTATATAATCATATAGTCAGCGAATATGGTTAGTTTGACTTCTTCCTTTTATATTTGTATCCATTTTATATCTTTCGCTTGCCTTACTGCTCTGGCTAAGAATTCAAGCACTATATTGAATAAGAGCTGGGCACCGTCGGCACACGCCTGTAATACTAGCTACTCAGGAGGCAGAGATCAAGAGGATCATGATTTGAAGCCAGCCAGGGCAAATAGTTCCTATCTCGAATAAAACCCATCACAAAAAAGGGATGGTAGACATCCTTGTCACAGTTCCTGACTCTAAGGAAATACTTTAATTTTCCTCCGTTCAGTATAATGTTTGCTTTTAGTCTTCCTCTCTCTCTCTCTCTCTCTTTCCTGTACTTGAACTCAGGGCCTACCACTTGAGCCACACTACCAGACCTTTTTTTGCTTTAGTTATTATTCAGAGTCTCCTGCATTTTTGCCCAGAATTGGTCTCAAATTGCAATCCTCCTATCTTTGCCTCCCTTATACCTGGGATGGCAGGTGTGTGCTGCCATGCTCACCTTATTGGTTGAGATGGCATCTTGCTAACTTTTTGCCCAAGCTAACCTTGAATTTCAGTCCTCCCATCTCTGCCTCCTGAATTGCTGGGATTATAGGCATGTACTGCTATGCACCCCCCCCCATTTTTGTTGTTGCTTTTAGTGAGAGAAAGTGGAAGCAGAAAAGTACACTCCTCAAGGAAACAGGGGAAGTGGGTTCTGCGTGTGGTAGCTAAAGAGCAGCCTTATTTATTTTAAGACATAGTCTTACTCTGTAGCCCAGGCTGGGCTTGTGACCCTTCTGTCTTTGCCTCCTGAGTACCAGGATGACAGGTGTGTGCTACCATGCCCAGCTTTTATCTAATTTTTTATTATCCCTTTCACATTTACTGGGATAATTACAGCTGTTTCTCAAAATGCTTTTTGATGCAAGAGTGAGAACTAATATTTCTGATGTGTTACAAATGTAGGATGCTCTCCCAATACCCCTTCCAACCCTGGGCCTGGCCTGGGCCACCCCAAAACCTTGAGCACTATCACTTGATGCTGTAGGCAGTTGTAGAGATTAGATGAGGTGATGGAGGATCTGAATTTGCAATTGACCCCTATTGCTTTGATCAGCAGCCACAAAGAAGTGCATAGACTAGGTTCATTCTGTCCAGGGTCTGATCCCTCTGGACATTCCTAGTCAGGCACAGCACACGAAGTGGGGCCCTTACTGGTTTCTGTGGTGTTTGAGTCACAGTAAGGTCACATGATATAGAAGGGATTGGGTCTGAGCAAGGTGGTCTTGGTACATCCCTGCTCCTGGTCCTCCTACACACCCATTTCCACACCTGCTAAGGGTCCTTTAACACTTGCAGGCATTCCGCTATGGAAAGGTATCTGTCCATCTGGGAAGGCATCTTGGATAGCCAGGTGCCTTCCTTCCCTGTGGGGCATGCATAGCTGTGAGTCCAGTTCTTCTCAGGTCATTTGACAGTCACAGTTGCAAAACTTTGTCCCTGTCCTTCTCCCTAGTGGCCTTTCAATCAGCTCCAGATGCAAACCCTTCTTGGTCCAAGAACACTTGCAGTGTCTGCAGAATGTGGAGGGCAGCAATCCTCTTGAGACAGTGCCCTTGGTCCTTTGTGAAGCTGTATTGGAACAGATGTCTGAGCCTACCCAGAGAATCTCCAGGTGTCATGGCCATCATAAAGAGACCAGTTAAACTAGCTCTTGGATGCTCTGTCACTGCATATGGTGACTGGCTTTCTCACTTAGTTTTGTCATTAATGTTACCCATCACTTTTAATAAAATCACTTTTTCAGAATAGAAAAGGCCTGGGGGAAGCAGAGCTGTATCTGTTGTGGTTCTGTTGGAGTAGGAAGTTTTTCCTCCTTCTTTGTGTTCACTTGTCTTGTACAGGTTTCTGATGGGTTTAACTTTTATAATGGAAAATACATATATACCTAGTTAAGAAAAAGAAATCACTGTGTGTGATGTGCGGTCTGTGTGTGTGCCCAAGCACACTTGCCTCAGCCACTACCCCACAAGCATGCATGCACAGAGTTCTCCTGGAGGTGGTGACTGGTGCTCCTCTTGTAAGCTAAGGGGCCAGCAAGCAGCCCCATGGACTTGTTTCGACGTTCATGTCCCTGTCCTGATTATAGTTCTAGTTAGATCAATTGCCATTGTGCACTTTCTAGTAGACGCTGTCACTGCGAATCCTAAGGGGCTGGAGAAGGCATCACACCATCTGTTCCATCACAGTATCAGGTCACCTTCCTCATGACTGTTCTCTGCTCTAGTGTGTGGCCCACAATGCCCTGGAGTGTGCACGAGCCATCTATGCCTATGCGTTGCAAGTGTTCCCCAGCAAGAAGAGCGTGTGGCTACGAGCTGCATATTTTGAGAAGAACCATGGCACCAGGTATGTGATGGGACTCACCTGCCCCTGTGTGCTAATTCAATCTGCATGGTACTGAATTTAACCTTGCTTTCCTGCAGATCCACAAGTGCCTCCATTTGAGGTCTGGCCCTCTGTATTGATGGGGCAGGTCGTGGTGAGGGCAGAAGCTTTTATGGCCCTTGGGACTTTGCAGCTGGATTGGTCTTTACAGCCCTTCTGCGATAGGATTATCACTGTTTTATAGTTGGAAAACTAAGGCATTGAGGAAGCCTGTCCTACCCAACTGCCTGGGTGCTTGCTTAAGGCTGGAGCCAGCACAGTTAGTGCTTAGCCACTGATTTCAGCAGTAGGTGGTGCAATGTCTGGGCCCATGCTGGCTGTTTTTCATTTGAGCTCTGCTGGCTGAATTTTGGCTGGTTTTTGTTCACAGAGGAGGTCCCTAACAATTTTCTTTAATTGTGTTCTTTAATTGAAAAAACCTTTCGTGTTTGTCTTATTGGCTGTAAATGATGATTAAATTAGGCATTGCAATTTCCTTTAAATGGGTAACTCTCCAGGGCACTGGGCTCATATCCTTGGGCACCCTCCATCCATCCTCTCCTTAGTCCTCTTCTACTCCCTACGCAGGCTGGGTACCAGCCCTGCTGGTTTCACTGAGGCTGCAGCTGGGAATGTTGAGCCCTATTTCTTTTCTTTTCTGATGTTATTTAATGTCAGTCTCTTTGGGGCCTTTTTCTACTCTGCCAGCTGGCTTGGTGTTTCATTGTTAACTCCTTAGGGGACATGGAGACATTTTGAAATGATCCTGATGGCTCACCCTGTAAAAAGTCATTTAGGACAGTCTGCCAAGTAGGACAGGATCTTTTGCTGCCAGTTGTGGGTTGAGACCTCTTGGCCATGGCCTAAATGTGCATGCTGTTCACTCAGTGGCTTAGTGGTCAGTTCCTTCCTACTGTTGTGCTTCTTCCATGGTCCTAACTCATAGAACAATGCGGGGAGCAGTAGGGCTTGGGGTTTGGGCTTTAACAAGTATGGTGTTGCTCTGGCAGGCCTTATTCCCATGTGGTATGATTTTGTGCATGTTCATTGGCTTGTTGTTGAGTGCACTGAGACTTACAGAGGTCATCACTGAAGCTGGTATGAACAAAAAGGGGTGGGCCACATAGTGTTCATGGATTTCAAACCCATACCCAAGGCTGGCCATATTTTTGCTTAGCAGTGACCTAAAATCACTTTCCTCCAAAAAGACCTGTTTTTTTTTTTTTTTTTTTTGGATGCCAGACTCAGTACCCTAATCTTTATCCATGGGCCCAGAGTGTTCTCTCGGGTTTGAGATGAAAAGGCCTTCCCTGTCACCAGACTGCCATGTTATCACTGCCTCCAGGACATATGGCTATAAAAGGCTGTGTTATTTAAACAATGTGTTGCTTTGTAGAACCCTCTTCAGTGGTTGATTTTAGAACTTTATGGAGAGGAACGATTTCCCCACACTCTCCCCATTGTAAAATCTGGTAAATCATTTATAGTGCCGAACTTTGGAGTGGCAACTGTCTTTTCAGCACCCATGCCATGGCTCTGGGTGCTCTGTGCTCTGGTTTATGGCCCAGGCTCTGGTAACCATGGCCTCTGCTTGCAGGGAATCTCTGGAAGCACTTCTGCAGAGGGCGGTGGCACACTGCCCCAAGGCAGAGGTGTTATGGCTCATGGGTGCCAAGTCCAAGTGGCTGGCAGGTGATGTGCCCGCAGCAAGGAGCATCTTGGCCCTGGCCTTCCAGGTGAGTAAGGGGTTGCCCATGCTAGAGACGCCATGCACACAGACCCAACCTTGGTACCACTGGTGCCTGAGAACTTCCCAGGTGTGGCCTAGAGACACTGAACCCTATGGGCAGCCCAATGAGAAACATTGACCTTTGGGTCCCACCACCCAGTGTGACCACAGGCTGATGCTCCAGAACACAGGTTTACATATGGGCCACCTGGGTGCTTCAAGACTTCTGTGTGAGTAGAGCTTCACTTAAACAGTTACACTTCCCAGGCCTGACTATGCTTGGCTGTTCTGAGATGTGTAGTATTTTTCAGGTACCTTATTTAATTTTTATTGTCACATATAATACTCTAATATTTTATAACAATGAATGTTCAGTGGTTTTATGCATACTTTTTAAACTGTAAGGTGCTCTGTAAATATCGATTTGCTGTTATAGTATAGGCTAACATAATAAACCTTATCCTTCCTGAGTAAATACCACAAGAGGGACTGGCCTGGATCAGCCTTTTTTGTTTTTCGTGTATGTGGTATTAAGGTTTGAACTCAGGGCCACTCCACCAGACCTTTTTTGTGATGGACTTTTTTTTGAGATAGGCTCTCATGAACTATTTGCCTGGGCTGGCTTTGAACCTTAGTCCTCCTGATCTCTTCCTCCTGAGTAGCTAGAATTATAGGTGTGAGTTTGGGTCAGCCTTTATTTCCAGCTACTTCCTGGATAGAACAAAGGAACAGAGACTGCTTGGCAGAACAGTCTGTGTCCTCCCTCCATGCACCTGGTGACTGTCATCGCTTCATCTTCTATACTGAAATCCTTGGGTGGTTTTCCTTTCCTGTCTCTGTAGTGCTACCTGTCAGGTCTATGGTGTGGCCATCTTACATAAGGCCAGGGGTGGCTATGCTGATCAGACCTGGAAGGTATCAGCTCTAAGGAGGCTTTGAGGACACCGCTTGCATGTCCCCTGGACTCTGGATTACATGTAGCCTGCGAACAGTCTCTGGGAGCCCTTCTACCCCATCAGTGACACCCTGCCCTGCCCACATGGGCACATTAGGGTGACTGAGGGGAAAGGGCGAGGTTGGGTGTGACAGGTCCACACATTTAGACATGTGTGACCCACTCAGAGGCTTTGAGAGACTGTGCAGGGTTTGGATGGATCCTAGAGAAAATGGCTCTGCAGCTGCTAGCATTATCGTTCAAGTGCTGAGGCCTCACCTCTTACCAGAGTGAAAAAGACTTGTGTATTTTCACATGAGCCTGGGTTCTTGTCTGGAGTCTGCCCTGTTATCTTTTAGTCTAGGCAGAGCTTGGACCACACCAGTCCTGTAACAGAGCGAGGCCTGGCTCAGCTCCCAGGCCACCTGCTTTTAATTAAGTGTGATCTAACCCTGGTCACTTTGTGCTGAGCCCTCTTGATGCTGCTGTGCTTGCCCTCCAGGCCAACCCCAACAGCGAGGAGATCTGGCTGGCGGCTGTGAAGCTGGAGTCAGAGAACAATGAGTACGAGCGTGCCCGGAGGCTGCTGGCCAAGGCACGGAGCAGCGCACCCACTGCTCGTGTGAGTGATGGCCAGCGGGTAGAGTGGGACTATTGGGTGCCTCATATGTACATGTGGATCCTAGCTCACGTGTCAAGGAGAAGTGAGATGAGATGGCTAGATTAGAACACAGCTTAGTCTTTTTGTTACTGGGTTTTAAAAAGTATTAGTTTCTTTCTCTTTTTTTTTTTTTTTTTTTTTTCTATTTCTGAAGTTGATTCTGTTTCATTCCATTGATCTATTTGTATTTAACAATATTCTGTTTTAGTTACCATAGCCTGATAACATGTTCTGATGTCTGCTATACATTTATCCCCACTTTTTGTGTACACAAAAAGAGCTATGAGACAGTTTATAAGGCACATAAAATAGGCAGGCACGTGGAAGTTGAGCTGAAACATGAAGCATGTGTCATGAAGATGCTTCCAATCTAGACAGGTGGTGGGTGCCATGAGAGCAACTCCCCTGTATGAGTATGTGTCTGCTTTGCAGGTGTTCATGAAGTCTGTGAAGCTGGAGTGGGTTCTGGGGAACATCGCAGCTGCCCAGGAGCTGTGTGAGGAGGCCCTCAAGCACTATGAGGACTTTCCCAAGCTGTGGATGATGAAGGGGCAGATCGAGGAGCAGGGGGAATTGATGGAGAAGGCTCGGGAGGCCTACAACCAGGGGGTAAGCCTCTGCTGGGACAACTGGCTGTAGCTGACCCTCCTATGGGAACCCAACACCCTGGCATTGGTCATTGTCCTTATCTTCTGAGGAGAATTGGAGGGCTAGTGGTCAGTGATAGAACTGTGGGTATAGGACTGAACCCTGGTTCTCTCACTGTAGGTTCTGTGTTTTTCCTTCAACAATACTGCACATCCTGCACTTGGGATGTATGGGGTATAGAACACCCAAAGTTAAGGCAATACATCCAGGCATGTGCATAGCACAGCTGCACACCTAGAAATTCCTGCAGCTTTCCTGTGTGTATGTGTAAAACACAGCACAACCATACACAGTAAACCTCTGTACAGCTGTATGCATGTGCAGCATAGCCTTATCTGCAAAATCTCACATTCAGAGCATGAGGTGCTCATCTCTAGACACAGCCCTGAGGTGCAGTCAGGTGGAGCCAACTACAGCTATGGAAGTCCCTCATGGACACCACCTGAGCACCTCTCTTACTTGGTTTGTTGGCCACAGCTGAAGAAGTGCCCACACTCTACACCCCTCTGGCTCTTGCTCTCCCGACTGGAGGAGAAGATTGGGCAGCTGACACGTGCACGGGCCATTTTGGAGAAGTCACGTCTGAAGAACCCAAAGAACCCAGGGCTGTGGTGAGTCCTAGGCTGTTGGCCCACCTCCCTCAAGGGCCATCCCCCCCAGCTCTTCTCTCTCAGTGTTTCAGCCCAGGTTCCTGAGGGTATAGGGCATCAGGTGCCCCATAAGGAGTCACAGTCCCTGACGTGGGCCTAGATGGTAGATAGGTCTCCAATAGAGGGCGCCAGGTAAGTGAGGAGTTGATGATGTTTGGGGATGAAGCTGGGAGAGTGGACTCCACAGAAGAGGCCACAGTCACACATACAGGGCCTTGAGGGAAGTTGGAGAAGTTTGCCATGGGTAGCTAGGCATGGTGGTGTATACCTGTAATCCCAGCTCTTGGGAGGCTGAAGCAAGGAGGATCATGAGTTTGAGGCCAGCCTGGGCTACAAAGTGTTCCAGGCTAGCCCAGGCTACATAGTAAGACTTTGTCTCAAAAAAATAAAGGACACAGGGTCAGCTTAGGGTGATGGGCTGGGGTGAGAGAGGACGCTGCCAAGCAGGTCAGCTTTTGAATGCCTCTTGTATTGGTCCATGCTCATTCTTTTGTCTTCATTGCATCTCGATCTTGTGGAGATTGGCTTAGCCAGGCAGCTACTTTGAGGGTACACCAACACTACCTCCTCTGGTGGACAAGCTCTGCCCTGTGGAGAACAGAATTTCAGCTACTGCTGTTACTGAGTCAGGAGCCTTTCCAGCAAGGCTCCCTGAAGATATCAAAGTGCCAGCCCAGGGATTGTGCTGAAGGTAGGTGGGGCTTGTACATCCCTTGGCCTATCTCTCCAGGTTGGAGTCTGTACGGCTGGAGTACCGTGCAGGGCTGAAGAACATCGCCAACACGCTCATGGCCAAAGCACTGCAGGAGTGCCCCAACTCTGGTAAGGGGCTCCCTGGCTCCCCTGACTCAGTGGAGAGTGGCATTCTCTGAGGGAGGGAGTTGCTTCCAGTAGACTACTAAAGAGAGTGTGGGCCATTTTAGTGTAACTTCACTGTTACTGAAACATTTGGATTCAGTCCCCAGTCTTACCATAGGAGAGTTTGATTTCATGTTGTAGAGCTCTGTTTATTTTTCTTTCAAAACTTAACTTTTATTATTTTATCCTAAATGTATAAGGAATAAATATGCAGCATAAAGAAATTTGGAGTGTAGCTTGGTGTTAGTGGCTTACACCTGTAATCCTAGCTATTTGTGAGGCAGAGATCAGGAGGATTATGGTTCAAGTGGTAGAGTGCCTGCCTAGCAAGTGTGAGACCCTAAGTTCAAACCCCAGTACCACCAAAAAAGGAAAAAAGATAAAAGTTTGAAGTTAAAAGGAGGAAGTAGAAGTCACCTTTAGGCCCACTGTTCAGGAACCTCTGCTTACTCCTTACTTGTTTGTAGTATTTCAGCCTGTATTATGAAAATCAGAATTTTGTGCGGAATTAAAATCATACTGTATACTTAGTGTTATACCCTTTTTTTTGGGGGGTGGTACTAGGAGTTGAGCAAGGGCCTCATGCTTGCTAGGCAGGCGCTCTACCATTTAATCTCTTCCACCAGCCCCCTTCTCTCTCTCTTTTTTTTTTTTTTTTTTTTTTGCTTGTTTTTTGAGCTAGGGTCTTACTTTGTAGCCCAGGCTGGCCTGGAACTCTTGATCTGCTGTCTCAGCCTCCCTCCCAAGTGTTGTGATTACATCATATTTCACCTTTTGGGGGGAAGGATGGTACTAGGGTTTGAACTCTGGGCCTTGTGTTTGCTAACTATTTGAGCCAGCCCTAGTCATTTTTTAAAAAGCGTCTTACATTTTGCCCAGGTCAGCCTGGACTGGGATCCTCCTATTTATAGCTCCCATCCAGCTGGGATGACTAGCACATGCCACCACACCTAGTTTATTGGTTGAGATTGCAGGGGGGTGGGGGGGGGTGCATCTCACTAACTTTTTGCTCAAGCGTGCATCAAACCATGATCTTCCCAGTCTCTGCCTCCTGAGTAGCTGGAATTACAAATGTGAGCCACCTTACCTGGCAGCTGTGCCTTTTTTTAAAGCTAAAATTTCAAAAATTCTATGAGAATTTTTTATTCTCATTAAATCTTCAAGAATGTAAATTAAGGGCTGGGAGTGGTGATGCATGGTATAATCTCAGCCATGAGGGAGGTGAAGATAGGAGGATCAGGGTCTGAGGCAGGCCCAGAACAAAAAGTGCAAGACCCTAAAGCAAAAAGGGCTGGGGTTGTGCTCAAGTGGTACAGTGCTTAGCAAGTGCAAGGATCTGAGTTACCCAGTATCATCAAAAGAAAGAAAAATATATAAATTCCTAATGGCTTCATAGGTGTACCTACAATATAAAACACACTTCAGCTGTTGGCTGATTGTGATGTTTAGTCATCTCCTACTTCTATTCATTTACTTTTTATTTTTGATACAGGGTCTCACTTTGTAACCCAAGCTGGCCTCTAACTTGTGATTCTTTTACCTCAGTCTCTTGAGCACTGGATTACAGACATGTCACCATGCCCAGCTATCTCCTATTTTTAATCTGATACTGTTTTGAGATGGCAGTTTTTCTCTGTTTTCCTGAGTCAGTAGGAATGAAACCTTGAAGGCTGTTGATGCCTCCAGAGCATTGTCTAGTCTGTACTATTAGCACTGCTGGGTGGGTGGAAGCACAGGACCTTTGTGGCTGGCTCTAAGCAGGCCCCTCTCAGGGCAGCCTGTGTAGACTAGGTGTGTTTCTAATACCAGAGGTGAGGCTGAGGGCAGATCTTTGTTTATAAACTTCAGGCGTCCTGTGGTCTGAAGCCGTCTTCCTTGAGGCAAGACCCCAGAGAAAGACCAAGAGTGTGGATGCCCTGAAGAAGTGTGAACACGACCCCCATGTGCTCCTGGCAGTGGCCAAGTGAGTAGGAGACTTTTTGGGTTGCTGACCCTCAGGGTCCTCATAGGGCCTTTTGCCACTTTCTGGCTGTGCTGATTTGCCTTGGGTAGGATGGGTTCCCTGGTCCTTGGCAGCTAGAGGTTTTGCTTCAGTCTTCTAGGGCAGCATGTCTCTGGGCAGAGACCTTGAGACATTTGCTGCCTGTATCACCTGGGCATCAGTCCAGGTTACTCCTTCTCAGATCTTTGGGGTACTATGGCTCTTCCTCCATCCCAGGCTTCTGGTGGGGCTGCTCCCTTTGCTACATTTCAATTTGTACTACACATGGCCTGCATTATGCAACAGATTTGCTGATACTGATCTGCCCAAAATTTAATAAAGCGAAGTCTTTCTGGTTCAAGGGGCTTCAGCTGAGAAATTTGTTTTCATTATGTTAGGGTGAAAAGTTACACTTTCAATTCTATGATTCTGGGAACAGTCCCGCCTCTAATCTGGGTGCCTTGAAGTACAGAGATGGCCAACCGAGGACACATGGTCTCCAGGGGAAGAAGTTGGCAAGTGACCTCATAGCATGGAATCATGCCTCCCCACCTTCCCTTGGTGATGTGTGAAGGAAGGGCCTTCCTAGGGCTCATTTTGGCTCCTCTCTGAGTACCATAGGGTCTTTTGAGTCTGGCACAACTGTGCTCATGTTGCTGTCTGGGCACCTCTCCAGTGCCTGTAGCTCTGGCAGATGAGGTAGACTTCTCAGGGCCTGGCTTGTGCCTGCTTGGGCTTCCTCCCTTCTGCCTTTGTGCTTTTTCCTCCCAGAGTGACTTATGAGAGGCCCTCAGATAGGGAAGCCATAAAACCTTATAAAAGGCTTTACTAAAATAAATAAGTTACTCTTTGCTGTTCCCAAGCTAGTGTTCCATGTGTCTGCTATCTGAGTTTGTGTTCTTTAAATCACAGCTTATCTTAGACCAAGCAATTAAGAGTGCCACAAGGCTTAAAAAACAATCAAGTTATCAGAGTGTGAAGTTATTCCGTTTGGTACCTGAGAGCAGCCCAAACAGCTGTCTGGAATGGAGGGGTTAGCTGTGTGCCAGCTGCTTCTGGCACTTCTGGTTACAAGGGAGACCTAGCTGGGGGAGGGAGGAAGCAACCCCAAGTCCTAGACCTGCCACAGTGGCTACCATAGTATGCCCTCCCCACAGTCCACCCCACTCCCCCCTTCACTACCACCCTGCCACCCTGCCCTCACTATTGGGTGGGGAGGGGCACCAGGGGAGACTTTAATTTGATTAAAGTGTCATAGTCTACCCTCCTGCCTTCCAGTGTCTTGGCTTCCAGCATGGCTCCACTTCAGCTTGGTTTTCATGTGTCAGAGTCCAGGCACAGTAGGCATGTGTGCTATGGTGTGAGTGCTGTGAGGCTGTGGGCCTGCTGCTGGCTGGAAACCCACCTTCTTAGTGTTTGCTTTGGCTGCTACAGGGGCCCAGTAGGTGTCTTGAAGAGCAGGCTGAAACTTTGCAGTTTTCTCTAAACAGCCGTCATTAATGCTTTGTCAGATTTAGTTTTATCTCCTTGTTTATAACCTAGAAGAAAACAATAGTTTTAAGGAGTTGAGGATTTCCTTAAAAGAAGTGAATATTCTGTTTTGATAAGCTATATGGGGGAAGAAAAAAAAAAGCTATATTAGATACCTGAAGGTGTTGGACAATCTGCATTGATTGATCTCCATTTAGCCCAGGCCTATTGCTCACATAGATGCCAGGGCTCACTCACTCACTGTGTGGGGTACTGAAAACCCACACAGATGGGTAAGTGTGGCCCTGGATGACTTCCAAACCCTGAGGACACCATCAGGCATCCCTTACTCTGAGTACTAAACCCTTCCTCCGCAACAGGCTGTTCTGGAGTGAGCGGAAGATCACCAAGGCCCGGGAGTGGTTCCACCGCACAGTGAAGATTGACTCAGACCTGGGGGATGCGTGGGCCTTCTTCTATAAGTTTGAGCTGCAGCATGGCACTGAGGTGAGGCTTCTAAGACCACCCACAGTGCCTTCCTGTTCATTCCCCTGGCTCCCTGGGGAGCTCTACCTATTCTGAGTGCTCAGGAGGTGGTCAAGACCAGCACCCCTCAGCACTGGGTCTGGAGGGTGGAAATGTGGATTGAGGGATAGGAGCACAGTGAATCTCTTTCTCCACAGCTATTATCTGTTAAAGCCTGGCACTTGGCTGTCTGGTCCATTTTAGGAGTTTGTTAGTGTTTTTTAATGGGTAGCTTGGTGACTGGGGCCTTTGGTCACCTTAGAAACAGGAGTGGAGTTGGCTCTGCCCTCTTGGGCCTGAGCTGGGTGTGGTATTTCAGGGGAGCTTGGGCAGCAGCCTCTCCCCAGCTGGAGCCATGCTCACAGGGAGGGACTGGCCAGGGTGTCCTGGGATCCTGCCTGGAAGTAGCAGCCAGACTGTCTTGAATCTGGGTAGCTCCTTACCCAGAGAGATGGTAGATTTGAGGCCTTGTTACAAAGCAGAGTTAGGGAGCCTGACTCAGTTTGGTACACAAGTGCACTGACTTGGGGGGCATGCTTCCTAAGCAGAGGGGTTGTCTGCAGACCTGCTGGATCCAGGTCTGCAAGGGGGCAGGGGAGGCTTAGGATATAACCCAGGAGTCCTGCCTGAAGTGCCCTGTGGTCTGTCTCTCAGGAGCAGCAGGAGGAGGTGAGGAAGCGATGCGAGAACGCAGAGCCCCGGCATGGGGAGCTGTGGTGCACTGTGTCCAAAGATATCGCCAACTGGCAGAGGAAGATCGGGGAGATCCTGGTGCTGGTGGCTGCCCGAATCAAGAACACCTTCTGATGGGGAAGAGGGGTAGCACATGGATGAGTCCATACAAGGGACTGAGCTATCTGCCCTTTGCTCATTAAAAATTTTTATGTAGCGTATTGGCTGGTTTTCTCTGGGCCCTTCCCTGGCTTGTGCTTTTGCCATACAGTCGGCCTCCTGTACCTAACAAGTGTGGTAATGGAAGCTCTGATTTGGGTGAAGCCTCCTGCAGCTGCCTATGTGCAGCTGGAAGAATCATGGGGTACCAGGGCTTACTGAGATTTTTGCAGAAGAGGTGTTAGGAGTACAAACTCTGGAGAGAGTGGGTGCACCAGGTCATTGCTCTGTGACACAGGAGGTCAGAGGTCACATGGGGACCAAGCTGTGAATGGGATGAAGGGTTTCCAGGAGCCCCCACAGCGTAGAGGACTTTCCCAGTCTTATTGTAGGGACAGCAGGGGCCTTCTGGAGTCTTGAGTACAGACATCAGACCCAAGCTCTTCTGAAAGGGGCCACTCCAACGCTGCTATAACTGGTAGGAGGCTTTCTCACTTTTACAAGTGAATCTTTTTACTAATTCATAGCAATTTTATCCTAAAGCACTGTAACCATCCTCATCACTAGATGGAAAATTAGAATGATTTGGTTTCTTTTCGATTTATGCTGCGCAAGATTAAAGGATTTCCTTGGGCCCTGGATTCATGAATGTGTACATTCAGTTGAGAACTTGCTGGCTCTTGGAAGGGGGGTTTGTGGGCTGGGCCGGAGACATCTGGCTAGAGGTTGTGGCTAGTACAAGGAGGGTAGACAGGCTCAGATTAATCAGGGAAGAGAGGCCATCAGGTAGGATGATGAAGGCTGGCCCTCTGAGACCTACTCTCTAGAGAACAGAAGCTAAGAGATGAGCCCAGGAATCCTGGTGCTTGTAGGGGAGCCTGCAATTGTGGTCAGTCACTGACCCATGTCTTAGCCCCCTGCAGGCAGGGCCTGTGCTGGCCTGTAGTCCCTCTGAGCCCTGGGGAGCATTGGCCATAAGAATACTTACTCACCTGTGGGCACCACAGAGGCATCTCTGCTGTCTTGGAAGGCTTGGCCACCTTTCCTGTGACTCTGGGAGCCTTGAGGACAGGAAGGCAAGGGGCCAGTCACCCTAGGTGGGGCAGAAACTGCTGGTTGGTAGGGCTGGGTAGGTAACCTGGACACCAGCTCAGGGCAGTTGTTCCCCTCATACTCACCTGAGAAGTGGCTGTGAGAGTTGCTGGGGTCTTTTTATGGGACCCTAGGTGGCAAGAGGAAGCCTTAGAGTTTACTCTGAAGAGGGGTCCAAAGTCAGATGGGCTCCTTACCCCCTCACAGATGAAAACCAAGGTCCAGGAAGGGGCAAGGACTTGATTATAGTCTCAGACTGCTGGTGGCCTCTGCTCCTCTGTGGCTCTTACCCTGACTGTCGTGCTGAGTGCAGTTGAGTGGGCACATAAAGGACACTGAGTGAGGTTTGCAGGACCCATGGAAGGGTCTGGTGCACCTGAAGTATCTTCATGTACATGTCTGTCTCTTTAGTGCTGAGGTGGTCAGACTATTTGTGTGCATTGCCATCTTCCGTTCCTGGGTGAACACACCTTAGCTCGCTCTCAGGTGAGAGTTGAACTTTCAGCTCAGCTAGAGGTGAGCTGTGTTGTGAAGGCTCTCATTCTGGAGCAGAGAAACACCTCTGGGTGACCTTTCCAACTGTGGAAGATAGTCAAGGAGGAGTGAGTCTGGGCCAATAGTGGGAGACTGGGAAGTCCCGAGTCTCAGGACCTGCTAGGGCAGGACTGTCTGGATGTCAGGGTGTAGGACTGGTGGATGTCATGGTGAGGGAGTAAGGTGCTACCCACCAGGTTCTGCCTGTCAGCCAGGACCCTGGGGGAGGCAGCCCTGGCTGGCCTTGCCTGGCTATATTCACCTACCAGCTGGACTCTGCACTGCCCCCTGTCAACTGAGTACCCCTTGGCAGCTGGGTCTCCCTGTGATTGACGACTCACCAAGACCCACAGCAGCCCAGTATCTGCTGCTACAGGCAGCTGCTGGACTCCAGGGTCAGGCTAATTGAAGTGATTGGATGGAGGGTGGAGAGAGGGAGGGGGCAGGGCTGGATTGCTGGCCTCTCCTTTCCTCTCTTGCTCCCTCCCTCCTTTGCTAGAGGAGCCAACTTCAAAAGCTTCTCCGCCTGCTCCTCAGCCCTGTCCAGGGAGGCCCCATCGGCTGGTGTGGTTGCCAATTGCCAGCTGCACTGTTCACCCAAGGACCCCAGAGGACCCCAGGATCATGTGCATGGCCTGCTGGAGGGAGTGAGGGCGGGCCAGACCCTGAGATGCCCATGGTGAGCAGCTGGGGTCTTTGGGGAGGTGGTTGGCTTAGACCAAGGGGCTGGTTGTGCACATAGCCGGGGAAAGCTGCTTCCTCTGTGCCTTTCAGAACTCCCCACTCCCCCCCTGCTTTTCCCTGTGACACCCTGCACAGAAACTGGCATGTGTGTGTGTGTGTGTGTGTGTGTGTGTGGCACTACTGGGATTTGAACTCAGGGCCTACACCTTGAGCCACTCCACCAGCCCTTTTTTGTAATTGTTTTTGTTTTTTCGAAATAGGGTCTTAAGAACTATTTGCCTGGGCTGGCTTTGAACCAAGATCCTCCTGATCTCTGCCTCTTAAGTAGCTAGGATTACAGGTGTGAGCCACCGGCACCCAGCCAGAAACTGGCTTCTTTCTCATCTGTCTTCTCATGCTGGATGGAGCCTGAGTTTTTAGCCTGGAAGTGTTGTAGGGATGCTCTGGACAGCCAACCTGACCCACATTGGGCATAGTGGTGCAGGACATCTCTTCAGCAGCTCCCTGGCCTGCCCAGTAGTTGGATTTATTCTCAGTGTGATCCCTGTTGGCAGTAGGCAGAGGGGCCACAGGCAATTCTGAGCCCACCTTTACTGGCCATGGGGTCTAGTAGATTTCAAGAAGCAGCCACAGCAAACTGCATCTGCTCTTTTGGTGGGTGTTACTTGATGTCCTGGACAGGAACACCCCCCCCCCAGAAAAAAACCACACACACACTCAGCTGTTAAGTGGGGGTTTGGGGTATGCTCAGGCCCTGCCAGGGCTGGGAAGCCGAGTCGAGTTCTGTCTTGTCATCTCGTTGGGTTCACATGATTAATTTTCCAGCCCAAGTCCGCTGCCTGACTCCAGCCTGGGGGCCTGGGACAGGTTTGGGGACAGGCCCTTTTGGAGTGTCTGGGGCCCTTTGTTTCTCTGGTGTGTGGGCTCCACTACCACCTCAACCAATCCCCTCCATTCTGAGCAGGAGGAGGCCTGTTTGCTGCTTTGCTTGGGATATGATGTGACCCCCTTCCTCCCCTGTCACCTCTAGGGGTTTCCCCAGCCCTCCCCTCCCAGTGGGGCGTGGCTTGGAGCTCTGAGGCTCTTGCCTTTGTCACTATTAGGTTAGAGCACAGGAAAGCCAGTTCCTGTGGCCCTGACCTGGTTGTATCAGTGCTCTTGACGGGAAGTGGAAGTTCTCATGCCACTCCGGAATGTAGTGGTTCTGCCCCCAGTTCCTATGGGGAGGGCAGAGCCACAGGTGTGTAGCTCCTATCCTGTGGGGACCCAGAGGGCATGGGGCAGGGGCTGAGCAACAGGAAAGCCCAATTGCAGGTGGAAAGCTGTGGCTGGTAGGTATGGGTCTGAGCATGGCCATAGGTGAGACTATACTTGGGGCCACTTTCTGCTGTACCCCCACCCCTCAGAGTCGGCCCACTCCAGCTGTGCAGAACTAAGTGACTCTCTCTCCCAGGTAGACTATAGCACCTGGCCCACTGCTTCTGGACCCCATATTCTTTGTCTCCTTTCTGGTCCTGCAGGGCTCAGTGCAATGGCCTCCTCCACTCCCTAAGGCAGAGTCTCAAATGTTTGCACAGAGCTTCGGAGCCTTTGGTTGCAGGTCTATCTTTTCTCCTTCATCAGGGCAGGGATTTATCTGAACTGTACCTAGAGCTTTTGTTGAATAGTGACACCTCCATCCAGCATATACCAGTTTAGAGATGGGGGTGGTGTGCCTTCTATGGTGACCCAAAATGCTCCCTGTGCTGGAGGCCAGGCGCCCAACCCGGATCTGGTGTTCTCTTTAGGTGCCCTCCAAGCCCACTCTCTGTGCCCTACTGCTGGCACTCCTGGGGTTTGTGCCAGGTTGGGCCCGGCCTGGCTCCTGCAGTGTCCCGGAAGTGCTCCGCCACTATCGGGCTGTCATCTTTGAGGACTTGCAGGCTGCCGTGCGTCGGGTGGGGTCCGGGGCCCAACGTTTAGGGCCAGGCTTCAGACACTACCAATTCATTCAGAAAAACCTGACTGGAGCTGGTGGAGTGCCAGGACGACTTGGGGCCTCCTGTGGTGCCCAGAAGGTATGGAGGAAGCGCCCCCACCCTCGACCGCCTGCCCACTCCCTTGAGGCCTCCCCTAGCCCTCTACCTCTGTTTTCTTCCCTTCCCTCCCCAGGAGCGTAGTATCCTACTGTCCATCGAATCCCTGGGTCGGACCCTGCGAGGGGCAGTGGCGGGGGGCCGCCGCGGTGCCCTGGAGAAAGCTGCATGGACCGTGGCCGTGCGCACCGAGGCGGTGATGCGCCGCCACTGCTGGACCTCGCACCAGGTGTGCATTCCCGAGTCCGGACCGCCCTCCCTTGGCGGTTGGGCTCGAGCTGTGGGGAGTGGACGCGGGTTTTGGGAGCCGTGGGCACTCGCTACCTGTTTGTCCCCGCAGCGGAGCAGGCGGCCCAGGACGCGCCCTGTCCGTGGTGGCAGCCGGAGGCGGATCTTGGTGCGCGCTCTGGACACCGTCGCCACCTGTTGGGAGAAGCTCTTCGCACTGCATGCCACGGCCACCACGGGATCCTAGCGCAGCCTGCCCCAGGCCCTGTCCCCCCACCACATCGCGTGCGGGGCAGAGAACTGGAGGGTCACCTCGGAGCCTGGGAACAAGCCTAAATTAATTGATGTTTTGACTGCAGCGCTGCCTCGGCATAGCTGAGCTCCCGGAGGGGCCAGGACTTGGTGGAGACAGTCCCACCCTGTCCTAAATAAACGGAGCTGGTGCTGCGCACCGATAAGTCTCCTTCCCTTCCCCTTCCTGGCCGTGGGCCCTGGGGTCGGCTCCTCAGTGGGGAGGGGCCAAAGATTGCACTTCCCAACGCACCTGTGCGACGGCCAAGTCGGTGCTCCCGGCTTCAGGCAGCAGGGGGCGCGCGGGGCATTGGCTGCGGCTCCAAGTGGGGTCCAAGGCAGGGTGGGGGCCCGGCGGGCCCATTGGGAACCCTAAAACGTCACGCATCCGTCCTGCCCCACTCTGGACCGGAGGAGTAGGTGGAAGTGGAGGGGAGGGGAAGGCTGAGTTTGGTGAATTCAGAGCAAAACAACCGGATAAAGGAAACGGGCCTGAGGGGAAGCCAGCCCTGCCGTCCTGGTCCAAGCACAGCCAGGTCATTTCCTGCTGCCTAAGGGGGGTAGACACAAAGTGGGGCTCCAGAGACTGCCACAGCTTGGTCTTTGAGACAGACCAGGCTGGACCCTAGTGCCTGCATAGGCCTGGGTGTCTGTCCCTCCCTGAACCTGGCAATGTCAAGCAGACACTTTTCGCTGAGTAGAGAGGCAGGCCTTGCCCCGCAGTCTGTCAAACAGGCAAGCAGGAGATGCAAAAAAGGCATTGGTGGGACAATCAGCACCAGCAAGAAATAACCCTACAGCTGATCTTGACCTTGGTCCCTTCTGCTTGCATTTGGTCAGCCAACGGGAGCTGTTGTCTCTTTTCACAGATGAGGAAGCAGAGGCATGGGGAGGTTACAGAACCTGCCCTGATCATATAGTCAGGAACTGTAAAGGATGTATCAGACCTGGGCTCTAGTGTGGTGTGTTGATGGTGAGTAGGGCTCTCTGGACTGCAGTGTGCATTGCTTCACTGGCAGACTCAGGCTTTTAACAGTTTCCCAGGTTGCCTCTGAACACAAACGGAACATTCTGGTCCAGCTCCATGGGGAACAGCATGGACAAGTGCAGGAGGAGAGGGAGGGACATGTGAGGTGTGCCAAGTAGGGCTCAAGTGCTAGGACTTATGCAGAGTCTTCAGCAGAGATGTGATAAAGCCAGGCCTAAAAAGACCCTGCTGCTGTGTTTGGATAGGGACCAGATATGAAGGAGTGAGGGGAGGCTTGGCCATCCAGGGTCCTGGCTGGAAAACCAGGGTTCTCTAGGCATCTTGAATTGGGAAACACCAATAGAGGACTAGAGGGAGCTTGGGAACCATGAACCTGAAAAGAGCATAGCTCATATTGATGGTTTCTGCTGGGCATGCTAGGGTTTTGCCAAATGTCAGGAAGGGAGAAAAAGTCCCAATTTTGTTGAATCATAAGGTGTAGGGTAGCAGAACATGACTGGGGAGTGGCTGAGTTGGAGTCTGGAGAAGGATGTTAAGAGCTTAGGGGTTTGGGTGGCTCCTGGATGGACAGGCCCTTGTGCGTGGACCAGTCACAACTCCAAGGGCTGTGTGGAAAGCACTCTTGTCCTAGTGGCACCTGGGCATGGTCTCCTGTGTATTCCATAGCTGCTCCCATCACAGTGCTCCTGTCCTGTTGTAGGACCAGACTAGGGAAGTTGGTGGACAACAGAGCATTCCCCCCTTGACTGAAGGAAGATCAGACAGACCACAGCCTCCTGGGAGGCCTGAGGAGGGGTAGAGGCATCGGTCTTGAGGATACACATTGATGCTCAGGTCCTGCATCAGACCATGATGCATCAGACCATGAGTGAGAAGCCCCTGCATCTGGGCCCCATGGCTCCTTTGCAGGGACCCTGCCAGCATCAACCTGGGGCTGTCTTCCATAAGGACTATGTCTGTCCTCTTGCAGGATGGGCACAGGTGCTGAGCCCACAGAGAGTCTCAGAGCTGCCAAGATGAAAAATGGAGACTGGATAATAAGCTGGATGCTGCTTAGGCCCTGAGACACTGTGGGTTCTTCAGACCCAGCCCAGGCATCCAGTGGTGGCTCCCCAAGGTCCCTTTGTAGTCTGGGAGGACAGAACACTTGGCACAGGCCAACAGAAGAGCTGCTCCATAGACATTTGCTGACTGGAACTGGCCAGAACTGACCTCTGGAGATGCAGACTCAACCATGGGACTGGGGGGCCTGCACATGGTATTATCCCGGTTCTACACACGCCTTCACGGGGCTTGGTTGTTTACAGGGAGGTGGTGGCTGTGGCCCAGAAGGAGGGGCTGTGTGAGGGTGGCAGATGGGGCCCCCAGGGCACTGGCCAGAGCTGTGTAACTTCCTGCAGCTCAGGAGCCAGGCCCCCATGTGCAGTGCGGGAGGAGGAGCCTGGCAGGCTTTGAAGGGATCCTGGGTCCCCACAGCCTCCCAGACTGGGAGCCTTTGAAAGAACATCTGGAAGTCGGATGACAGCCAAGCTAGTCTTTGCCACTTGTGTCCTCCCCACACCCACCCCACCTCTCACCACCTCAGCAGGGATGAGAGCTGCAGCCTCTCCTGGGTTTGGATAGTAGCTTCCTCCTACTCCACCACCCAACATCCCAGCCCAGGAGTGCTGCTCCTGTAAGGGGAGCAGTGGGAAAGATGGACATGTCTTTTGAGTGCCCTCAGTGAGCTTGGCTGCATGCCTGGAGCTGGGTGCTGAGAAGGCTTGGGCAGCACTCTGGACAGGGAGGCTGAGGAGGAAACACCTGCTCCCAGACCTGGAGGTGTCTGGCCTTGTGGGCACGTGGCCTTTGCGTGTGAATGAGTGTGGGGTCCTGAGACCACAGGTGTGCAAGGAGGCCCCTATGCTCCAGCTGAGGCTGACTGGGAAACAAACAAGCCTTCTACCCCAGGAAACACATAGGAGGAGAGGGGGCAGGTGCTGGGGCCCATTGTCCCTGCCAGTGGCCTTCAGGGACAGCCCCCATCCTTCCCCCTCCCCAGGAAAAGTCCCAGCTTTGTAAACACAAAAACAAACAACTCCCCCCCTCAAAATTGGGAAGAACCAGTAGGGAGGTTCGCACCTGCTGTGGGAAATGAGTCCTTGTTTGGGGGGAAATGGAGAGGTCAGGCCCTTGGCGGTGGGTGCACAGTGCCTGTTGAGGGGGAGGAGGAACGCCCTGAGGTCCTGGCTCCTGGGTCACCACTGGTGTGTTGTGGGGACTTCTGTTGAAGGGTCTCTAGCCTGATGTACCCGGCGGGGAGGGGAGGGGGGTTCGCGGGAGAGGTAGTGAGGACTCGGGGCCAGGTGAGCAGGCCCTGTCCTTGGGCCGCCTCTGGCGCCCTCTGCCCGGCGCGGGGCCAGGGGTCAGGGCTGCGGCGCGAGATAAGCGCAGCTTCCTGCACTTGCTCCAGCGCCGCCGCTGCGCGCAGCTTCCTGTTTTCTCGCGCGGACGGGCAGGGTCGTGGGAGACCGGGCGAGGTCGTGGGGGGCAGGGTCGTGGGGGGCAGGGCCGTGGGGGGCAGGGCCGTGGGGGAGAAGGGGCGAGGTCGTGGGGGGCAGGGCCGTGGGAGCCAGGCGAGGTCGTGGGGGGCGAGGTCGTGGGGGGCAGGGTCGTGGGGGCCGGGCGAGGTCGGGGTGGGGTGGGGGAGGGGACAGGCTGGTGGGGCGGGATCTCGGGAGACTGGGCAGGATCTTAGGATAGTGGGCGGCTCTTGTGGAAGGGGCTGGGTCGTAGGCGATGGCAGGATTGGGGGTGCTTGGGTCTTGGGAGGCAGGGTGAGGTCGGGTGTGGGGGTGGCGAGGGAGGCGGGATCTCGGGAGACAGGTGGGGTCGCGTTGGTGGGGTCATAGGATAGTGGACCGGCTTTGGGGAAGGGGCGGGGTCGCAGGGGGACGGCTTCCTTGGAAGACTGATGTCGGTGGAGGGGGAGCCCAGCGGGCTGGGAAGCAGTGAGGAGCCAATGATGCCCGGCAAGCCCTGTCCTCCCACGTCATGTCATGGGTCCAGAACCCTGGTACACACACTTGACCTAGGCCCTCCTGGGTTGGTGGGCTCTCTCCCTAGTCTGGAACACAAGTGGCCCGGGTTGGATAGGGGTTGACCCAATCCAAAGGGGGCCTGCTTGAGATTGGTCACCAACTCAGGATCCCCCTTTTGGGAGCAGCTGCTTTAGGATAAGGGTGCAAGATTCTTAACTTACTGTTCAGACTTGCTCATTAGAAGCACAAGTTTCTGAAATTTTAATGAAAACACATCCACACAAAGCCCTGTGCATGAGTATTCCTAGCAGTGTTATTCACAATAGCCCAAAAGTAGGAACAAAACAAATGTTCCTCAGTTGATGAAGATCAATAAGGGTGTATTCATACAATGACAAAATTATTCAGATGATGCTGAGAACCAAGCCAGTCACAGGACAAATACTGTCTGAGTCCATGTGCGATCGTCCCCCTTGTCTGTAGAGATGGTATGAGATCCCGGCAACCAGTGACCAAAACTTCAGATGGTATTGAACCCTCTGTATGTTGCCTTTTCCTGTGTTGGCTTTTCACCATACATACATCTTTTTTTTTTTTTTTTTGCAGTACTGAGGTTTGAACTCAGGTCCTGCACCTTGAGCCACTCCACCAGCCCCATTTTTGTGATTTTTTTTTTTTTTTTTTTTTTTTTTTTTTTTTTTGAGATCAGGTCTTGTTGTGAACTATTTCCCCGGGCTGGCTTTAAACTGAGATCCTCCTGATCTCTGTCTCCTGAGTAGATAGGATTACAGGCTTGAGCCACTGGTGCCCAGCTAATACATACATCCTTATGATAAAGTTTAATTTGTAAATTAGAGATAAAGAACTAATAATAAAATAGAACAATTACAGCAATCTACTGTAACAGAATTTTGTAAACATGGTCTCTCTCAAAATATCTTGTGCTGGGCGGCTGAATAGGTGGTCATCGAAGTGGGTACCTTCTGCCAGGTTCTAGCTGGCTACTTCCCCAAGGAAGTGGAACATCAATACAAACCTAAAGAAAAAGCAGTTTCTTCTTCGTAAGCTGTGATATGTCAGTTGTACAGAAATACCACTTTAAGAAACACTCTTTAGGAGAACTCAGATAACCTCATACCCATCATCCCCCAACTTGCCCTTCAAGTTCAACTTCAGTTTGATAAGGCTGTAAATTCAGCATTGACTCAGAGGGTCAGGAACAGAGTCAACTTCAGGGACTTTTAAAATATGTACAGATTTTGTGATAATGTGTGGGCTTTTGTATTGAATGATTGTGAATTCAGGGAGATGATAGAATTTATTAAAGTGGGTAATGTAAAAATGGTAGCCTGCAATGATAAAAACACCTGTGCCAGGGCTGTTGGAGTGGCTCAAGCGGTAAGAGTGCCTGCCAAGCACATGTGAGGCCCTGAGTTCAAACCCCAGTAGCGGGGGAAAAAAAAATTCTGGCTTCAGTACTGGAGAGTGGCAAGCATGAAGCCTTAAGTTCAAACCCCAGTACCCAGTCCTGGCTCCAGGACTACTGAATGAGTAGGAAAAAATGTTTTTTTAAATACCATCTTCTGAGCAGGCACTGTGGCTTATGCCTGTAATCCTAGCTACTCAGGAGGCAGAGATCAGGAGGATGGAGGTTTGAAGCCAGTTCAGGCAGTTTGTGAGACCCTATCTCAAAAAAACCTATCTCACACACACACACACACACACACACACATTAAAAAAAAAAGGGCTGGTGGAGTGGTTCAAGGTGTCAGTCCTGAATTCAAACCCCAGTACCTCAAAAAAATAAAATAAATATCATCTTCTGTTATTATTCATCACTTTTTGAAGAAAAGCGTAGAAGAGACTTTAAAATATTTATTTTACCACTGCAAAAAATGACTACACTGTGCTATACTTTTAGAGAATACCAGCAGAAAAAAATTATAACTCTGTGTCCTTTTACATTACCTTTATTATACATTCTGAAGAACTGTAACTTTTTTTTTTTTTTTGGCAGCACTGGGGTTTCAACTCAGAGCCTCATGCTTGCTAGGCAGGTGCTCTTACTGCTTGAGTCACTCTGCCAGTCCTGAAATGTAACTTTTTAAAATGATAAATCAAAACTGGTTGTCTTCCTAAAAACATTCTTTAATAAACTCATTTTTAAAACTAAAAAAAAAATGTACTATACTCACACTTCTTTTTGAACTGAGAAAGTGAACCCTCATTAAGGAGACTAATGTGTGTGTATGAAATATTCAGAACAGGCAAGTCCATAAAGATGAAAGCAGTTTAGTGTTTTTAGGGGCAAAGCAGAGAAGAATGGGGAGTGATGAAAAGCTCTGAGGTTCAAAAGAGGTCATGGTTCCCGACTCTGTGGCTATCAAAACCACTGAATTGTGGACTTAAACCTGTGTAAAACAGAGCAGGGTACTCCCTGGAAACAGTGTCAGGGCAGAAGTATAGTGAGGGCCCAGTTTGGCTCCCTGGGGCAGGGCAGAAGCTAATGTAAGCCACTGAGTTTTCTAGAAATGTCCAGTTGAGTAGGGGGAGGCTTAGGCCCCAAATACACATGTGCCCTGTGTTGCCCCAGCATGGCCTCAATGGGAAGGTGTCTCTGTGCAGTGTGTGGCTGTGTTGGAGCATCCAAGGGTATCCAAGATAATTATCATATCTTCTGAGAAGAGCATGTGCCTTACCCCTTTCTGGACTGGGGATGGTTACTCCAGGGACAAGCTGGGTCCCAAGCACGGAGAGAGGAGCTCAGACTCTCAGGAATGAGGAAGCCAGGGTCAGGAGGGGAGGGATATGACCCTGGCCTGTTGCCTTGCCTGGGAGGGTGGCTCTGCCCTTGGGGGTGAGGGAGGTCTTCCCAGGCAGGGCAATAAGGGATTCCCACCCCAGCACTCACTCACTGCTGCTCTTTGTGTTGTGATCCCACCTGTATTTCCTTATGACCCTCCTCCTGGGTGCTTGCTCCTTTGCCTCTTAGGACTGGATCTAAATTTGAACTTGTTCCAAACTGGGTCCCCACTAGCCTCCTGCCCTAACACTTAGGACAGGGGCCTCTAGGGAGCACCGTGCTCTCTCCCCTCCTGGGCAGTGAGACCACACTGCCCTGCCAAGGTACCCTTTGAACCCTCACCCCATTAACCTACAGGGGTGTGCCCTCTGGGAAGGGTAAAGATGTGGATCCCAAAATGAGACAAGTGCCTGACCATACGAATGGTGCTCTAGCCTGCTCTATGCTGTCTGTTCAGCACTTCTGGGTGTATCTAAGGGTGTGACTGGGGTGAGAATTTGTGGGAAGATGCCCCAGCCCAAGCAGACAGGCACATGAGCACAGGCGAGTTCAGGCAGCAGGACAGGCCCAGCCTGTCTCCTACTTCTGCTTGGAGCTTCTTTCTCTGTTTGTCTCTGTTCTCTGTGCTCTGCTGCTTATGGGGAGATGGACCCAGGTGTGGCTTCCCCCACCCTGCCATTGAATGAGGCTCATGCTGGTTAATAGAGATGCCACCTACTGAGGCAGTACACCTGTAAGACAGCGCCACTTGCCTGTGATCCTCCCACATATTCTGGGGCAGCTGGCTCCCTATACACGGACACACGAACACGTGCATATTCAGTCCCAGGCTTGCTGTCCATCTAGCTGGGCATCTCACACCCAGACCCTGAGGCTGTGTACTTACACCCCACATAGGATACAGCTGTTAGCAAGCTTTCGGGACCAGCTAGATTGCCCAGGGTATGCTGTGGAGGGTGCGGGTACAATAGACCCTCCTCTCCTAGGAAATGGACACAAGACTCTCCTCTTGGCTCTGGAGATCTGCTAAACCTGGGAAGTATGTGTGCATACTTTCCAGGGGTGTGATTGTTCCAACTTCCCTGAGCACATGAGTTTTGAAAAGGGCTAGGGAGGACCAACGAGGTGAAGATGAATCCAATGCTGCTGAGAGGAGCTCAGGCAGGGATAGTATGATGGGATTCCAGAGTTGGGGGCCTGGGCCCCTCTTCCTTGGTCATTGATTGACCTTCTGTCTCAGTGCAGGAGGTCAGATAAGTCACCCTGGGGAGCAGAGCAGGTGTGGCACCTCAGAAAATTGGGGTAAGAACACCTGATGGGGCTTCCAAATGCTGTCTGCACAGAAGTATCAGTGCTGTGGGCCTAGCCAGGTGAAGGTCACTGCCTTAGGCAGTCCCAGGGCTTGTAGGAAGTTTTGTAAGGCACAGGGGGTGGGGGTGGCGGCTGCTAATGTGTGAGACTCACCAACCTTGAGTTAAAACAGGTAAGGGACAGGAGAGGAATGCAGGCTGGGAGGGTGGGATGATGCTGTCAGGGGCATCAGTTGGAAGGAAGGAGAACAGAAGTGGGGCTCAAGTGGAGTCAGGATCCCTTGCGAGGAGGAAAGTGCCCAGGGCTCTGGGCCGGAACAACCACAGACACAGTGTGCAGAGGAAGGAAAGGCCCAGGCACTTTATTGTGGCCCCCTGCCCAGAGGATCCAGCTCCTGGCCCCTCCTTTACAGCAAACATTGTTTATTCCTTGTATTTAAAAAGCCCTTGCTACATGGATGCTGGTGATCACTGAAACCCTTTAAAAGAAAAAGTTTAATTAAAAATTAAATATATTGTATTATGTATATAAAAAAGGCAAAGTAAAAAATACAATCTGGTTCTAGAAAATACACTGCAAGAAAAGGATTAGGTGCTTCAACAACTTAACCCTGGCAGGGCCAGCCAGCAGGTCCTAGGCCTGGGTTTCCTAGCCCCACGTGGGAGCCAGCAGCAGGGTCCCCAGAACTGGGACGGTGGCCGGGAGGTGGGACCCACATGCCGTTAGCGTCGCTGTTGCATAGCCTAAACATACATCTGCGCGAGGGAGCGGGCAGCCGCACGGCGTGAGGAAGCGCTGAGAGCTGGTGCAGCAGCAGCTTAGCCAGAGATGCAGGCGCTGTAGTAGACCGCGCTGCTGGCATCCGACAGCGCCGAGATGAGGCTGCTCTCCTCTGGACAGGACATAGTGCGGGGGCCCAGTTTGGCCAGTGCCACATGGTATGGGAGCGGGGTGGCGTCCGTCCGAGTCCGGCTGCAGTTGAGGTACTGGTCGAACTCGATGAGGTCCACGTCGGCCCAAAGGTCGTCTGTGGGTCCCAGCGGTTCGGCGCCGTCCAGTGGCGGGGCCTCGGGCGGCGGCGACAGTGGGGTGGGGTATGGGCCCGGAGCGCCCAGGGCGCCGTAGTAGATGCCGGCGAGCGGCGCGGTGGGCGGCGCGGTCCTGAGCGCCTCGGCCAGGGGCGCTCCGTAGCAGCCGCCTGGGTCCCGGGCCAACTCGGGGGCGTAGGTCGCACGGAAAGCCCTCAGAGCGCAGTCCTCGGGCGGCACAGGCGGCGGGAAGAAGGCGGCCTCTCCGGACTCCAGGCCGTCCAGCGGCGAGCGCTCGGGAGTGGGTAGCCCCAGGCCGTCGAACTCCGCGCCCAGCTGGGGCAGCTCGCGGAAGGCTCGGGCGGAGCTGGACGCAGCGGCTTGGAAGGATTCGGGAGGCGGTGGGGGCGGCGCCAGGCCCGGGAGCAGGAGCCCAGGCTCCAGCCGCCGGGCCTTGCGCGCCTGCTTTTTTCGGCGGGGCCGGTACTTGTAGTTGGGGTGGTCGCGCAAGTGCTGCACACGCAGCCGTTCGGCCTCCTCCACGAAGGGCCGCTTCTCTGCCGCGTTCAGCTCCTTCCACGCTTTGCCTGTGGGACACCGCACCGGTCAGTGCACCGTCGTCGGGCACATGACCCACACGATCCTGCATGCGCTCTGGGCGCGCGCGCGGCTAGGGTGTGGCACGGTCCCCTCTGCCAGGCCCCAGACCCGGGACCCTCCACCAGAGGCCGACCCCCTCCCCTCTCACGCCCTTTCCCTACCCTCCCTGCAGCTCACCCAGCATTTTGCTCAGCACCGCATTATGCAGGTCCGGGTTCTGCTGCGCCAGCCGCTTGCGCTCGTCCTTCGCCCACACCATGAAAGCGTTCATGGGCCGCCGGATGCGCGACTCGTCGGCCGTCTGGCGTTCCCCACGGCCGGACGGGCTGAGGCCATAGCGCCCCGACTCGGGGCTGCGAGGCGGGCTGCACGGCTGGCTGGTTGGCGAAGCGGGCGCGACGGGCGCGACGGGCGCGGTGGGGGCGGCGGGGAGGCCGCGCGGCTCAGCGGCGGCCCCGGATCCCGGGGCCCATGCACAGTCGCGGCGGGCGGGCGGGTCGTCCTGTGCGCCGTAGCCGGGCGGCGATCTCTGCATTCCAGCTGGGCGCGGCCTGGGCGGAACGCGGCGCGGGAGCGCAAGGACGGTGGTGAGCACTGCGGGACCGGGCGCGGAGAGCTGGCCTGCGACGAGCTGGTGGAGGTGTGGACACGATGTCTTCGCGCCCGGCGGGAGCTTAGATATAGGGGCGCGGGGCCAATCGGCTGCGGGGCGGGCGGGGCGGGGCGGGGCGGGCCTGGGCCACCCCCTCCCCCGGGGCTCCCTTTCTTCTTTGGCCCGGCCGGATCCCGCGGAGGCCTCCCCGGCGCAAAGCCCCCCCGCACCGTCTCTGAAGGAGAGACCCCTGAGTGGGAGAGGGGCTGCTGGTGAGGGCTGGGGCTCAGAAGGAGGGGTCCTACTGGGCTCTCAGGCTTTCAGAGCCGCGCTGCCGCCCCACCCACGGAGTCAGTCCCCCAGGCAGTAACTGAAGGAGGGGGCAGGGCCATGAGGTTTCGTTGGCGAAGGCTGACTTATTTTAGCACCAAGTTCTTGGGAGGCCGCCTTCCTTCGTGGTGTACCTTGGGAAAGAAGATTGTATTGGGGGGGGATGTTTATGCATGCAGAACTCAGCATTGGGGACTTTCAAGGCCTCCTCCTAATCCTGTACCTATAGTTAACGGAGAAGGTGGGCCTCTCCTCCCCAACTCCCAAACCTACACCAGGGCAAGGTAGAGCCTGGAAAGGAACCACAGGAAAAGGGAGTCTGGAGTCCGCAGCCCCCCTCTCTTTCTCCCAGAGTCTGCTGTGTAGAGGCTTCTGTAACTGGTTCCCCTGTCTAGGTGAAGTCAAATTGCCACGGAGAGAGACGAGGGAACACTGGGTCTTTCCTAATGGCCCCTCCCACAGACTGTCAAGCCTGCGGGGTGGGAAAGCTCCAGAAACCCCCAGCCTCCTTAATTTTTTGTGTCCATTGCGCCCCATTAGGAAGAGGTCTGGGCTCCATCTCCCCATAGATTATGTCCCCTTCTCCCTACCAAGTGTGGTTCTATGAGGAAGGCTTAGTATCCTTGGCAACCATGTGAGTGGGTAAGGACTCCCATCCCATCCTGGAAGCTCTACAACCCTCACTACTGTGGCAGGATATCCCACCCTGTTGAGAGCTCCACGGTTTGAGGCCATAGATGTCAGTGACCCTAGGTCTGTGTGATGTCTGGTGGCTATCTGGACCACATAGAGCTCATCCTTAGGAATGGGGCATGTCCCTTGTGGGTCCTGCAGCACTCAGTGACTTTCCTGAGCTGTCCCCCAGTACTCCTGTCATGGGGAGAGACCAGAGCCCCCACCCTTAGTCTAAGGGCTGTTGGGTGTCCAGCTGTCTCCATATCCCCACCTGACATCCTGCCATGTAGGGTTTGGTGGTAAAGAGCTTGGTTTACTAGCTGGCCTCCAGATCCCAGGTACATCATTGGCCCTGCACCTGATGCACCAATACACAGCAGGGCTGGTATGTTGGGAAAGCTGGGGCACCTGGAGGTGGGGTCTCTGGCTTTTCTCAAGAGGCAGGCAATGATATGGACACCTAGGTAAACTGCCAGTGGTGCCAGTTCACTTTGGCCAGGTCTGAGTGTAGGTGGGTAGATGGAGTGGGAGCTGGGGGGATAGTAGGTCATAGGGAACAGTGGGAGGATCAGAGCTGGGGACCAGGGTTATGAGCATTTGCCTAGCATGTAGGAGGCTCTGGGTTCATTCCCCATCGCCGCAAACTACAAAACAAAACAAAACAAAACATACAGGACTAGAGCTGCCCTGATTTTCCCCAACTTGGTAGGGGCTACCTCTACCTTATAGCCTTATGAATACAATTCTGGGGTTATCAGGGCCTGACTTTAGCCTGGACCATGGCTGATCTGAGGTGATGGTCACTGGGCCTCCAGAATGGGGCCTCTAGGGTCCTTTGCAGCAGGACCCCCATATTGGAGTTCCTGGTGGCCTGACACTTTGTAGCCCCTGAGAGCCCAGAGTCATCCCAGTGCTCTGAACATAGTGGCTGCCTGTGTCAGGCATTACCTCATTGCTCCCCCATGCCCTCCAGCAGCCACCTCCCCTGACGCCAGCCAATGACCCTTCCTCTTGGTTAGCTGTGGAGTTCAGGTGTCCAGCTGTCATGTCCTGTGAACAAGGCTGGGAGGGAGCCTGATGGGTGCTCTCTTCCCTCTATAGTCAGGGGTGAGGATGGCAGTCCTGGTGAGGATTGCAGTCCTCACCCACCCTCCAACATGGGATGACAGTGGGGGAGGTAACTACAGTCAGCCAGTGGGGTGGCCCTGACCCTGGAGCTGCAGGGCTAGAGGGACTCCTCAGGGTTGTATAAGAGCTGGTGTGGGTGTGGCCAGCTGTGCTGGGGGAGGAACATCCAAAGTGAGTGTCTGCTTGTCTGTGTGTGGTCTGCATGTGTGCCTGTCTGTCCATCTGCTTGGGTATCGGTCGAGGTGGACCCTAATGCTGGAGGCTGCCTAGAGTCTTGGGATCCAGACAAGCTGGACTTTCTCATGAGGAGATGGAGACTCAAGGCTCAAGAGAGTCCTGCTCAGGAAAGTATGGCCCTTACCACCCAAGGAAGGGACCCCAAGACTACTTTGGCCACAGAGCTATGGTCCCTTTTCATGAGTCTAGGGGCATTCCTCTGCCTCCAGAACTCTACTTCAACCTGACCAGACCCAGATAAGCTGCTGCCTACCTGTTATGTCTGCAGCTCCAGCCCCCAGAGAGGTAGAGTGGAGGTGCAACATTTTTCTGCAAGTTTGGGGCTGGCCTGAGTATTAAGTGAACACTCTCCAGCCCTCCACCTACTTCCCTCCCTCAGCCTGGACTGGACTCCTGGCCTCCTCTGGGTGAGGCCTGAAAAGGATGCTGGGTAGCAACCCTTGGTGGCTCTGGTGGGGGCTTGGCTTGGCTCAGTTCTGGCTGAGGGTGGCAGGACCTCCCAGGCACTGCCTGGGCATAGACCTCCCAGGCTCCCACCAGCCAGCCTGGGCGGCTGTAAGAGCAGTAAGTCTGGGACCAATTATACAGCCCTGCAGGGTCTGAACCCTCCCACTCTCAAAGGGGAGGGTGGGGTCTCTGTCTGAGGCCAATGTGGCTCAGGTGGAGGAGGACACTGGTCTGTTGGGGCCTTGGCTTTGGAGCCAGCTGCCCAGTTCAGATCCTACCTCCCTCCTGCCTCTCTCAGCTCCAGTGCTGGCTGGAGGCTAGCGCTGGGGGAATACGAGACTGGAATCATCCTTGACTTCTCTCTGAGGGGTTGGGGGTGTGTGTTTTAAAACTTGGTGGGCATGTATGGCTCTCAGCCAGTGACAGGTCTGGTTCAGATGGACTGAACCCTGGCATAGGGGCAGTGGGCCCTCTGGCACTGTGCATTCTTGCTCTCAGTACCTACTGGGGAGCAATGGGCTTCTAAAATGCTGCCTGTCTTGCTTCTGGGAAAGGGTAGGTGGGGTGGGCAGGAGCAGCCATACTCTCCCAGGAGCATGTGTGAGAGGATGTGAATAGATGTGAGTGAGAAGAAGTGCTTTCAAGTGTTGGAGCTGGGCAGGATAAAGTTCATGGGCACAGTTCGATACGGTCATGTGGACCCGAGAATCCCATGCAGAGCTGGGTGTTGGTGTGGACACTGGAGGGGGTGTCAGTGTGCTTGTGGGTATTGGCCTGGTGGAGGGTTGGGGGTTGTGCAGGGGGCTTGTCTTCTGGGATCAGTCCCCAGCAGTGCTAGCAAGGGCTGTCCTAAGTCTAAGGGGTTTTTGTCTAAGGTGTTGTGTGGGATTGGCTCTCATCTGCCCTGGGTGCTCTTGGGCCACCAGGACTAAGAAGGGGCAGGAGACTGTGGGGATGGGAACGTCAAATGCAGCCTATTGACTACAGTGTCATTGTGGGTGATGGCAGATCCAAGTTCTGTGGACGGTTGGGGACATATCAAATGCAATGGAATGGCTTCTATGGGTGCACCAGGGGTTGGAAGATGTTTTAAAGTCTGTTCCCAAATTCAGGGGTATTAGGCAAGTGGGTGACCAAGGTGTTATTGCAGACTGTGCCCATTTTTAAGGTCACTGGTTGAGAGCTGAGATGTGGGGCCCTGGGACTGTTGTGCAGCCCTTTGGAGTGTTCTGCTCCTGGGGTGGCTGCATGGCCGTATGTGTCCGTGTGTGTGTCCTCCAGTGTTGCTGCATGCTGTGTGGGCCTCCCCAGCAACGCTGCTCCATGGGGGCTCCATGGGAACCAGGCTGGGGAGCTGGGCAGCTCTGGGTTTCCGAGGCAACAGCAGGGTGGGGCCAGGAAACAGCAGCTCAGGAAGGAAAGCTGGCCTCTCCCCCTGAGGGAGCCCAGGGCCAGCCGAGCTGAGCAGGCGCCAGACATTCTGTCCAGTTGCCCCAGACCCTGCTGGCTCAAGCTCTTCTCCGAGTTCCGTTGGCCCCACCCCTGACTCCACCCCTCATTACGGAGGATGGCTAGCCTTTGTGTGAATGACCTGGGTCCATAGGTGTCCCTGGATCTGTATTCCTGTGCGCCCTGGTCCCTTTGGCTCTGTAGAAACACAGGTGGGCTCTGCACCTTGGGCTGTGTGGTGGGCATACTTGGGTCCCCTGGAGGGCTGTATCTACCCAGACAGTTCTGCCCTGGGCTTTCCTGGCTCTCTCCTTCCCTACCAGACTAGGAACTGGGGAGAGAGGGAGGCCAAGACCAGAGAGAACAAATACTCTCAGGTGGTCACCTGCCCAACAGCCAGTAGGGTGCTCAGGCAGGAAGGCTAAAGCTGTGTGCTGCTTTTTTGCTGCTTGTTCTGGTTTTGGTGACAAGTAGTCTTGATGGGAAACCAGCTGGGCCTGCCAGCTGGGCTAGGGGCAGGTGTGTATTCTCAGGAGCCATCTACTTTCTTTGCTCAGAGACAGAAACCATGCATCCATCCATTCATTTGGTATTAAGCCCCTGCTGGAGTTCTAGGAGGTAGGAATTCAGCAGAGAACAAACAGCTCCAAGTCCCTGCTGTAGGAAGCTTGCATTCTGGTGTGGAGAGACAGAAAATCAACAAATAAACACAAGCCCAAATTTGGGGTACCAGCTATGGGGAGGGACTGTGTCAGGGTGCTCACAGCCTGACTTTTCCTGAGGTGGCTTTTGAGCCCCACCTGAAGGATATGTGAAGGAGCCACAGGAGTGTGCTACACAGAAGGGTAGATGTGAAAAGCCCCTGGGAAGGGAAGTGAGCAGGTTTGTGGAAGGGCAGGGGTGCACCAGGAGAACAGGCCTGAGTGACCAGGGGTACTGGGACTTGAAGTTTTGTGATGTTTTTTTTTTTTTCGAGATAAGATCTCAAGAACTATGTGCCTGGGCTGGCTTCGAATCTCAATCCTCCTGATCTCCGCCTCCTGAGTAGCCTCTGGAGCCCAGGCTCTTGGAGCGTTTTGAGAGGAGGGTGAGTTTTGAGAGGCTGTGCTCTGATTTGGCTTCCCACAGCCTGCAGGGGCCTGGCTATGGCTGCCCTGGGCCCATGCTGGGCTCTGCAGGAGGGCAGGCAGGCAGGCTGCCTTAGGGCTCTATGGGTTTGCTGCCCTCTGAGTCAGACCTCCATGCTTCACCCATTGCCCCTGACCCTGTGGCTGCCTGTGGCCCCTGGGGGGGAAGGAGGGTGGAGTGGCCGCCAGGCTGGCGGGCTGGCAGGGCAAAAGGGCGGCATTTCTGGGAATTGTGTGGGGGAAGTGCATTGTTAGAGTGAGCCTGCAGCAGGCCAGGGCCACACCACACCGGCCTCTGGGGGTGCCTTGTGCCTCCCCAGAGCTGTCTCTGGAGTAGTGAGTTGGGCCCCTGCCAGGCTGTGGGCTGGCTGGGGACTTTCCTGGAGATGCTGCCCTGAGCCTGTGGCTCTTCCCATTTTGCAGACTGGGAGACTGAGGACCAGCAGCTGGACCAGCAGAGCCAGCAGTAGTGAACCCAGCCTCCACTCTGTCCTTACGTAGGCACTTCTGTCCCTGGTCACTGCCCTGCCTGACTGAAGAAGTCCACATCTAAGGGAGGCCTAGGTGGGAATGGCTAGGGTTATACCTCCACAGAGCCCTGTAGTGGAGAACTACAGACCCAATGATGGTCTGGATTGTTTAATAAACCAGGTGCAAAGGAAGGGTTGCCCTGGCATGGCAAGAGCAGGGCCCTCTGGGGCTCAGAATGCCCCCTACTCAATGGTGACAGGAAACAAGGGGGCTCCGTGTGAGTTTGGCAGTGTGAGCCTTCCCACAGCTGCCCTCTCTTGGCCAGAGGGGAAGCGTGGAGGCTGCCACTGGGGTCATAGCCCTCTCTGGGTAGGCAGGAGGCGGGGGACACAAATAGAAAAATAAATGGCCTGAGTTTCCGCTGTTTCCTGGACTGTGGATGGGGGAGGAGCAGGCTATGGGCCAAAGGTGCAGCTGGCCTGGTGGGGCAGACCCTGGGGTGTCTTCCCATACCCTGTTAGGGCCATGTCCACCTTTTCAGATCTCCAAGCTGGTGTGTCTCCCCCTCAGATTCACCAGGGCAGGGCCATATTGCCCACCTAAGGCTCCTGAGAGTGTAAGACCCCTGCAGGAGAGGGAAGAACTTCTAAGGCAAATTGGGGGAAGGAGCAGGGCTTCTGGTGGGGTGAACCATAAAGGGGCCCCAGTGGTGCAAAGGTGAGGCTCTTAGGAACCTTCTCCTCCACCTAGCACAACATTGTCGAGGCTTCAAGTCTTTAGTATTGGCAGGTAAGTGTCTCTCCCCTTCACCTTCTGAAGGGCAGGATAGGGTCTGGGGGGTCAATGCCCTGTTGGGGTGAAGGCCCTGGAAAATCCATGGTTCAGATGCTGTTACCCCCTTGATACAGCTGTGAGAGCACTAGAGAGCCACTGTGGAAGAGGAAGTTCCCAAGGTTGGTGAGGTGCAGAGGGGTGTTCCTGAGGTGGGGGTGTGACTACTCTGAGTAAGGGCCAGGAGGTTGGAGTGAAGGCCCCTCAGGACTGACCACATTCTCACCCAGGCTACTGTAAGGTTGTGGTGAGTAGGGAAGCCCCTGCTGAAAATCTACTGGACCTCCCTAGTAGGGAGTCCCTCCCTACTAGCTATCCCTAGTTGGACAGTCAAGCAAGGGCAGGTCTGTGGCTCACTCCTGCCACCTACAGGCTGGGGCTTCTCATATCACTGGGGCCAGTCACAGGGCTGGGGCAGCTCAGAGGGGTTCTGTAGACCCTGGTCAGCTCCTTGGTGAGGTCAGTTGTCAATCATCAAGAGTATAGTTGAAGGTGGGCACATGTGGCTCAGGTCTGTAATTCTAGCTACTCAGGAGGCAGAGATCAGGAGGCTCACAGTTCAAAGCCAGCCCAGGGCAAGTAATTCATGAGACCCTATTTCAAAAAAACAAAAAACAAAAAACAAAAAAAACCCCATCACAAAAAAAGACTGTCAGAGTGGCTCAAGTGCTAAGAGCACTTGCCTAACAAGCATGAGGCCCTGAGTTCAAATGCCAGCACTGGAAAAAAAAAAAAAGAGCAAAGTAGAAGGATGTTGTGTGGCCCCAGGCTTCATTGGTGCCTGTGGTGTGGTTGGACTCTCAGAGCCTTTATTCATGCTCAAACACAGGATTATGGCACCATGGCTTGCTCAGGGATATGGCTCATGGAAACTGAGGCATGAGGGTGGGTGTGGGAGGGGTGAGAGAGTGGGTGTGGATGGATGTTCACCTATCATTAGGCCTCTGTCTTGGAAAAAAGCTTTGCTCCTGCAACTAATTCCATACTTTTTCTTATGACAAAGATGAATCTTATGACTATGTTTCCGTTTGCACATTGGTTCTTGGGAAAATCCTATCTAATGACACTGACAGTCCATGGCATAGTCAGTCCAGGTCATCTGGACATCCCACCTGTCACCTGGGCTCATGGTTCCTTGGCCTGAATTTCAGTGACTGGGCTCAACAACGTTTCAGGCAACAGCCCCTTGGCTTGCCCCCTGCCCCAAAATTGTGTCCCTTCCAGGCACACCACCCTGCATCTGCAGCACTGAGCAGGTGGGAGGCCTTGGTGAGGACCTTGGCCCCGTACCTGTTTACCTCCCTGGGATGCACGCCCCTCTGGCTGAGTGCAGTCGGGCCCTTCCTGAGGACCACTGTGAATCCTGGGATTCACAGTGCTGTGAATCTGCTGACAGCCGCGCTAGGAGGTGGACTCTCCACTCTTCACAGGTGGAGAGACTGAGGCCCAGGGCAACGAACAAAGCCTGGGATTTGTACCCTACTTCGAGGCAGGGTCCTTGCTCATGCAGCCTGTCCTGAGCGCGCGGCGCCTTCCTCAGCCCAGTCACGGCCCGTGCAGGCCTCACATCCTGCTCCTGCCCCTCACACCATTCCGTGTGCCCAGCATCTTGGAGAGGAAACCTCTGCGCAGAGGCATCAACCACCAAAAACTTGGCTCGCACGCGCAGAAGACCGCGGGGTGGCAGGGCTGAGGGTCCGGGCACGAGAGTGGGAACCGCTGGAGCCGACGCACGAAGGCGCCTCGGTGGGCAGCCAAGGAGGGCAGCTCGGGTGAGCGGAGCTCGCGCCGGGGTTACCGCCCTGCGGTCCCTCCCACCCCGGTCCGAGTCCGCCCGGAGCCCAGCCTCCGGTCTCCTACTTGTCCTTCCAGTGGAGGTTGTGGGGCGTGTCTTTCGGCGGCCGACCTGTTGGGACTACCTTTCCCAGGAGGCCGTGGGCCGTGAGGGCGTCTGGGAGTTGTGGCCTGCGGAACTAGGATTCCGCATCCCAGGATGCAGTGCGCGGCCGCGGGGCGGGGGTTTGGGCCAAGGATCTCCACGGCTGCGGCGGCGGCGGCAGCGGCGCCAGGGGCTGGGGTCGCGCCGGCCTGGGCGCCGGAGCGGGCGAAGGGCGCTGGTCCTGAGGCGATGATGGGCAAGGAGGAGGAGATTGCGCGGATCGCCCGGAGGCTGGACAAGATGGTGACCAGGAAGAGCGCGGTGAGGGGCGCGGGCCGCCAGGACCCCGGGGTCCCCGCCCCGCCGAGATCCGGTCGAGCCCAGCCGCGGGCCGGACGAGACCCCACCCTGGCCGAGACCCCCGCCCTGTGCCCGCCCTCCACTTGTCCTGGGACCGCCGCTGTGGACTGGACGCCGCATGGGTGGAGACCCGCCCCCCGTCCCGCTGTCCTTGTCGCCCCTCAGGCGGCCAGAGGCGTTCCGGGCCTGGCCGTTTTCTTTTCCGTCTCTCCCCACCCTACAGATTCAGGTTTCTCTAATAAATTCTCTCCCTGCCATAGCCGGGTTTCAGCCATTGTGGGCAGATGGTGGAGACCCTTGGGGCGAGCCTGTGGGCTTTGGGATCCGAGGAAACGGTTCTGCCCCCGCGGCCTGGCCTCTGGCTCGCCCTCCGAGGCCGGGTGTGAGGCCTCCGAGGTCCAGCCCAGCTTGTGACCTTGGCAACCGGTCCGCGCATCTTCTCAGGACAGCATCTTTAGCGGATGGTACCAGCATCCTACCTGGCCTGGGTAGGGAGGGGGCTGGGAGGTCCCACTAAACACGACCAACCCGCCCGCGGGACAGCTCCTGGGGCAGTTAGGGCGGCGAAGGCAGCTGAGTCACGGGCTTCTGAGGCGTGAGCAGCCCTCTCTAGAGCTGTGCCTGCAGTGTGTGTATGTGTGTGGGGGGCGGTAGCAGGATTGACCAAGGTTTGGGGCTGGAGTCTACATCAGGAAGGAGGCAGACCCACACACATTTCTTTACACGAGAAACAACCCTTCTCTCCATGGCTGCCATTATCCCTGGGCCTCCTTGGACAACAGAGTGGGGTAGCAATGAACTGTTGGCCAAAGGAGGCAGGTGCTTCCCTTCTCTAAGGGGACAAACCCAAGGGACAAACACCTTGCAGGACAAGGCAAAAATGGGCTGAGGGGCTGGAGGACTGGTGGAAGCCCAGCTTGAGTAGAAGCCCAGGGAGGAGATCCCTCAGAGGCTCCCTTGGTGGTTGCAGCACCCCAGAGGCTTCTCCCAGTTGGGGGTGTGTTTGGGGTCCATCCTTGTTGGGTGTGCAGGGCTATTGCAGGGAGAGTATACTTGGTTCTGGGGACCATATCTCATCAAGAGATCACCTAAGGGTTCATCTGTGCACAGCTAGAGGAGCAGGACCTGTCTTTGTGGGGCTGTGAGAGGGGCTGCAGCCTGAGCAAAGAAGTCACACACTTTGGCGGGCAGGCCCATCCCATCCCACTACTTCTATTGCAGGGCATTTGAGTAGCTGGGTGGGTCATCTCTGCCCCCTCAAGACACACACATGAATATACATCAGGACAAAGTGATGCTGCCTGTGAAGGGCAGCTAAACAAGGGTGTGTGTGTGGGGGTTGTTGCATGAGATGGTCTCAGTTGTAAGAATGAGGAGTTATTTGAACAAAGCTCTGGAAAGTTATGAGCCCTGTTGATGTGCTTCAGAGGGATGTTGAGGCACAGCAGCTTTAGGAGCAAGAGTCCTGGGCTGCTTGGCACTTTTGAGGAACACTGAGGAGTCTGCTTGCTGTGGAGGTAACCCTGGCTGTAGGACTCGTGCAGACTCTGAGGAAAGGAAGAGCTTGGTGGGGGCGGTGATGCTGAGGAGGGAGACACTTTCAGTGTCTAGGACATGGGTGGTGTCTGGCTTGGTGGAATACATGAGGAGTGGAGCCATGGGGCTGCCAAGTGCTGGCTGTGGCTAACTGAGAGTTTGGATCTTCCTTGGTTAGCATCTCCCTAAGGTGGGGGGGGGCACTTTGGCAGGGGGAAGGTGTCTTTCCACCTGGGAGTGGATGAACAGGGGATAGTGAACTTGGACTATTTGGGTGTGGCCCTTACTGCTGGGGAGGAGCTTTAGCATTTCCTCTCTAGTGGTTTCATCAGTGACTTGATGTTACCATGAAGTCAGGGAGGTGATTTCCAGGGATGCAGGTTGGGAAGCCACTTGCCCTTCCCTCACAGTCTGCAGAGCTGCTTCCCTTTCACTCTTGTCCAGGGTGGGGGCAGTAAGGGCTCCTGCTGTGGTGCAAGAACATGTGCACAGAGCTCTGGGCATCTCAAGGTGGGGGAATTGTGGCTTTCTTCTGATCTGTAAATTGTCACTGTCTTGTGTCCCCCTGGTGGCAGAAGAACGTAGGGTTATCCATTGAGTTCTAAAGTCTTTTATGAAGGTCCCTTCTCCTTCCAGGAGGGTGCCATGGACCTGCTGCGGGAGCTGAAGGCCATGCCTGTTACACTGCATCTGCTCCAGGTAGGCTCTGCCTGCCCCAGCCTGCGATAGCTCTGGGGACAGCAGTGTCAAGGGCATTTAGCAGGGCTCCCTGCCCTTATCTGGCCTTGGTTGGCACAAACTGTTCTGAGGAGAGGGTTCCTGCCTTTCTCTGGTGTTTAGTGAGGTGGGGAGAGGATGTCTGAGGATAACTGACCCTGTCCTGAGTTCCAAATGGGATAGTAGCCATTGGGAGAGGCATCTGTCTTTCCTCAGTTGGTCCCCAACCCCCCTGCCCTGTTGGAGTCAAGGGTTTGCTAAGAGGATTCTGACCCCTGGGGTGGGTCCCCACCACCTCCCAACCTAGGCTGCTTGCCTTGCAGTCCACCCGTGTTGGGATGTCTGTCAACGCCCTGCGGAAGCAGAGCTCGGACGAAGAGGTCATTGCACTGGCCAAGTCCCTCATCAAGTCCTGGAAGAAGCTCCTGGGTGCGGGTCAGACTGTGAGGGCTGTGCTGGGGCAGGGAGCATGCAAGAAGGGCTGGCCTCTTTCTGTCCACACAGCATAGACCATGGGCTGTGCTGCCCTGAGCTGAGCCACCTGGGAATGGGATATGACAAAACTGGACCAGGAAGCACTTAGCTCAGGGCTGGGAAATGGATCAGTGAGTGCCATCTGTGACTGTGAGGCGGGCTAGCCTGGGAGGCATGACTGTTTGGACAAGGGTTTGTGTTGGGGAAAGGGTTCCATATAGAACTAGAGAAGAAGAGCTGAGGGCAGGATCTGGACTGACCAGTGTTGAGGGCATCCAGGAGCCCTAAAAGAAGGAGATCATGCTGTGGAGGTCACCAGAGGAGAAGGGCAAGGCCAGGACACTCTAGGGAGTATTTCCAGATGAGGGGGGAGGAGCTGGGGCCACCACCCAGGGAAGGGTGGATATAAGCTAGCTCTTGTGGACAATGAATGACTGAGCTGCAGAGATGCCCCTGTGGATTAGGGAGGCAGCTCTACCTCTGGACCCTGGGAGGGTTTCAGTTTCACTTGGGCTCTGTCTATACCTTGTGAGACAGCCACAGGGCTGGTCCCTTTCTCTAGTCAATGGCCATCAGGATGTAAGTGGCACAAGCATGTCCTCGTCTCCAGTACAGGCCCTGGGCTAGGCTCTGCCTAAGGCTGGGCTCAGGAGGAGCCATGTGGGGCATAAGCTTGGTTGCTGGCCAGGATGGACCTTTCAGAGGCCCCACAGTGGTCTGCTTAAATAAGGATGTGAGATGAGGGTCCTGGGGAAGTTGGTGGGCTTACGGGGGACAGAGAGGCCCCTGTCAGGAAGGCCTGGTGGCCTCCTGGTACCTTATTTGGCTGGGCTGGAGGTGGGTAGAGGTCTGGGCAGATGGGTCTGGCTGAGGCTGGGCCTTGATGGTGACCAGTCCCCTGCTTGCCTGCTTCTGACCAGTCTGTCCTCTTTTCTGTCAATGGCAGATGCTTCTGATGCTAAAACCAGAGATCGAGGGCGGGGCACACCTCTACCCACATCGTCCTCAAAGGATGCCTCAGAGGCCATGGATCCCAGGTAGAACACTTGAAGGCAGGTGCACACCTTCCTGCTTGTTTCCTTAGTAGCAAAAGGGTGCTTATGTCAATGTCCTGGGTATTCCCTGAGGGAGGGCTTTCTCCAGGGAGTCTCTCTATGCAGATGCTTGGTCATCCTCATGCTGGATGCTGTGTTCAGCAGCTGAATCTTCTCCACAACCATCTGAGATGGGCGGGTGTTTCTGCCCACTTATCAGTGAGACCCTTGACACTCCTTAGCAGGGAGCTGCTGTGAATCTGGAGTGGCCTGTAGGAAACAGCCCCCATCCTGTGTGTGATTTTCACTGGCCTCCCACAAATCCCATCCTGAACCAAAGAGGGGGCCCTGTTGCTCTCTCTGCTTTCATGACCACCACGACCAGGTTAGGCCCTGTTGCCATAGAGATTGGGGGCCCTGCTGGTGATAGGCTGTTGATTGAGGTGCTGCTTTGCTGTAGCAGTGGCAGAAGGCTAGGCCTGGGCCAGGACTAGCTGAACTCTGAACTGTTGGGATAATGGTACAGTCTGAGCTTATCTGCAGAACTGCACATTGATTTTGCTTCAGGGAGCTACCTGCCTTACTGATTTCCATAGGGGATATAGGGAAAGGGCCCAGTGAATGTAGCCTGGTCATTGGGTAGTCCCATGTAGGTCCCAGCTCTAAGAGGGGCATCCTTGCCCTATTTTGTTTGTGCCAAGTAAGGTCATCTATGACATCAGAACTTGACGTTGGGTGACTCTTGCCTTGTCTTTACCCCAGATAACTATAGTTCTCTGCCTGTCCTTGACCTACCATCACCAGAGGGGTGTTCACAGTATGACCCATTTCCAGGACCTCTTGGAGACCAGATGCCCCAGTGATGGCAAGAATTTTTTAGCCATTCTCACCACAGGGGAGCTGCCCAGACACTGCTGGGGAAGGATCTGGCACCCTGTTCCATTTAGGGAGTGAGCTGTGACCCACAGGGAACCTCACAGCCGTCTTCTGGCCAGCAGGGCAGATTACACAACATGCTGGGCTGGACTGAAGACGGGCGAAGTCACCCACCTTGCCAGAGTCTGTTAGGGTGAATTGAACAGGCTTTGGAGGTGGGGATGGTGCCCTGACATTCGCTTTTCTGGGGACAGCCTTGAGCCTAAGGGACCTTGTGTCTTTAGCCGCAAGAGGCCAGAACTGCCCAGGACACTGTGCACACCGAGGATCACCACGTTTCCCCCGGTGCCCGTTACCTGTGATGCTGTGCGTAACAAGTGCCGTGAAATGCTGACGGCTGCCCTGCGAGTGGACCGTGAGTGCCTGGCAGGCCCTGGCTCCTGACACTCCCACATTTATAGGGTGGGGGCCCTCTGGCCTGTTGCAGAGGCGTGCTTCCAGATGGGTGGCCCTTAACCTGTTGTTACGACCCTGGGAGGAGGCTGGGGTTACTGGAGTGCCTGGATCTTGGGCGGTGTCCTCCAAAGGTGAATGCCCCCTCTAGCTGCCAACGTGCCGTGTAAGCAGAGGGGTGGCAGGTGAAAAGGCCAATGGGGACGGCTAGTGAGGGCTCCCTCTTGCAGAGGATCACGTGGCTGTCGGTGCGGATTGTGAGCATCTGTCGGCTCAGATCGAGGAGTATATCCTTTATGTAGGGCTTATGGGCCTGAGGGCATCTGGTGGTCTGTAGGCCACTGGGCTGACTCCTTCTGGTGGCTGCTGGATACCACTGGTGGGCTGTTCAGTGTCCTCTCTGGGTGATCTCCTACCTTTTCCTGGGTCATCGGATGGCTTTATCCCAGGAGGGCAAGGGCACAGGTGAGGGGCTGATTCTGTTTGCTGGTGGGTCTGAGGGAAGACACAGTTGCTGCAGCCCCTCAACTCCCCACTGGGCCTGGGTGGGTAGACTTGACTTCCCATGGCTAGGCAGAGCATCCTCCACACGGCCCCCAGCAGGATGGGTGGAGCGCAGTGGCCTCAGATGGATCCTTAAACACCTACACGCATCTTCCGGGATGTGGGAAACACAGACATGAAGTACAAGAACCGTGTGCGGAGCCGTATCTCCAACCTGAAGGATGTCAAGAACCCTGACCTCCGGCGGAATGTGCTGTGTGGTGTCATAACACCCCAGCAGATTGCTGTGATGACATCGGAGGTGAGCTCCACTGGGGAGCTGGGGGCTGCTTCTGTGGAGCTGTAGGCTGAGCACTTGGCCCCTCACCCCAGGAGATGGCCAGTGATGAGCTGAAGGAGATCCGCAAGGCCATGACGAAGGAAGCCATCCGTGAGCACCAGATGGCCCGCACAGGTGGCACGCAGACAGACCTATTCACTTGTGGCAAGTGCAGAAAGAAGAACTGCACATATACACAGGTGAGAGCCACTGCACCCCTAAGGGCCTGTGTCCTCAGGGCACTCACTCTCCTTTGAGCCCATGCCTGTTCCCACCTTTTCTGGGTTCAGGGTCTGCCCTTATACTTTGACACTGTCAGGGCTAAAGTCCAAACCTGGGTTTCTCCCTGAGCTTCCAGGGACCCTGGGCCCCATTAAGCAGCATCTTGGGTGGTAGGTCCCATTTGTTTTGGTATGCTAGGGCTCTGTGGCCTGGCTTTGCCCAGCATGGAGGGACAGGAGAGTGTGTGTTGGTGGTGATAGGAAGGAGGTATGCCAGCAATGACTGCAGGACCTTCAGACCTTGCTGTGGAGATGAATGCTGAGGTGCTCTGGAGAGACTGTGAAGACCCCAAGAGATGTTGGGGGCTTGGAAAGAGGGGAGTGGATTGAGGTGGTCTGGTAAAACTGCTCAAGAGGCAATGGAAACTGCCATCTCCCTCCTTAGCTACCAGGACCTGGGTTTGTGCAGAGATAGCCTAGCTCCCACTGCCCATCAGGACTGGCCTTGCCTTCCAGAAGGTGGCCATGGCTACTGGGTTCCCTTCTGATCCCCTCACCCTCCTGCTCCTAGCTATTCTGAGTTCTTTGGCATGAGGCATTGGGCATACACACAGGGGCGAGCTTTGAAAAGCTGGGGTTTCTGGGCAGCCTCAAATTAAATCACCTATGGGCCCAGGGGCTGCAAGGCCAGCACTACAAGTCAGGGGATACTCCTGGGTATTCCCTAGGCTCAGCCACCTGCCCCACAGGTGCAGACTCGCAGCTCTGATGAGCCCATGACCACCTTTGTTGTCTGCAATGAGTGTGGGAACCGTTGGAAGGTAGGTGGGCCCATGATGCACCTACAGCCCTGTTCTCTGGAGGTGGGGGTGGCTTAGTCCATGTGAGGTCTATGATATGAACCAGGAACTGCTGTGCCCATCCAATGTCCCAGGAGCCTCAGGGATGGGGGACTTTGTGAACCTGCCCTGCTGTACCCATGTGGGCCACAGCTGGGCACCTCATTGCTTTCCTGCAGTTCTGCTGAGCCCTTGTGCAGATGTGCTGCAGCCCTGGGCTAGGCTCCAGCATTTTCCATGGACACTTCTCTGGAGAACCCCTGAAGGCGGCATGCCCTGCTCCCAGCCTGCCTGCCTGCCTTGTGTGCACCTTTCTGCCCTTTGCTCCTCATTATTAAATGTTTTATCTTGCCATCTTTGGCCTAGTGGGCTGTACCCAAGCACCAGCTGGGCCCTATTTCCTGTGTCTGGCCTGTTCTCTACTGTTGTGGTTACCTCTTCTCCCTGGAGTCAGGCAATTGAGTTTAGTCCTGGTGGGGCAGCACTGGAGGCAAGAGCTTGATTAGCCCTCATACCTGTGCCATGTGATTGTAGGATGCTGGGCAGTGGTGCCTGTACCTCTCACATGTGCACATGTACATCCATGTGTGGACCAGGTCCAACCAAACTGGCTGTCTGGGAAGGTGAGGAGGGTTCTATGTGGGGCCCCAGTTAAACCAGGACACTATCCAGTAAACATCCATCCTCCTCAGGTATGGCAGCCCAGGGCCTGCCGTTCTTAGGATGGCTCACCTCATCCAGCACTCTGCTTCAGGAAAGAGTGGAACTCATCCCACAGGGATGGAAAGTCTCTGGGCCCTGGGCCAATTCTAGCTCCAAATATTTAAGCTCTCAAAAACTCAGGAATGGAGTGGTGACTGGTTGCCTCACTACTGAGATGAAGATGACATTGTGTCCAGCACCAAGGAACTCTTGGGAAGGTCATCTCATCAGCCCTGCCCCAGCCAGGCCCCGTGGGAGATGGTCCACTTAGGGCCTGGGAAGTACTTCCCATCACATCTTAAAGTCTTTGCAAGGTGCTGACCCATTTCAGAGTGGGAAGGCCAAGGCTGAGCACAGTCACTTACTGGGGCCACTGCTGTGGGATAGGGCCAGGGCCAGGCACAGGGCAGAATCTGGCATGATCCACTTCTCTAACTTCCCTGAACATGGATGAACAGAGGCTTCTGCTTTAGAAATATCTTCAAGAATAAGCCTGTTTTTGGTGCTTGGAGGAATGAAAATGAATTTGGAAACATTTTTCTCTCTTTTTTGATAAACAGTAAGGATATGTTACCAGGTTTAAAGTTCATGAACATATAAAATATAATTGGGCCCTGTCACTTGAGCTTCATTCTGAGGTTCCACATCTGGTTCTGAGGTTCTGGGGTGCAGACTACTCAAGCAAGAATATCTCTTGCTGTAAACCAGATGGTGTAGAGGTTCTGTCTCTACCAGAGGAATGTCATGGGTACACGGTTGCCTGGGAGGCAGCCCCAGTGAGGCTATAGTTCCAAGCTTCCTCCTGGGAGGGGCCCCCAGCCCACCCTACGGCTGGAGCTGTTGGACCAGGCAAGGGCAAACCAGGGAGTGTGGCATATTCCACCAGGACTGGGTCTGCCTCCAGGGCTGGGGATTCCCAGCCAGCCAGGTGGAATCCAGGTGTGAACCCTGAGTCTGCTTACAGGAGGGGTGGAGTGTCTGTGCCACCCAGGTAGGTGGCCTAGGCCTCAGAGGAGGACTGTGGGGCTCCACGAAGCAGCAGGGCACGGTAGGTGGGAGAGCTGAGAAATCGAGGGTAGGAGTCCCGGTGCATGAGTGTATAGATCTGCAGCTGTGCATCATCAAACGTGTGAGCTGACGGCTCCTGCATCTTCCTGTTGATGCCCTCCCGCACACGGGAGTCCAGGCTCACCTGTGGGATGGGCATTGAGGTGAGGGCCTCACCTCCCAGGCTTCCCCCACCCATCCTGGCAGCTGGCGCACCTCCTTGGGGGACAGGATAGACACGTAGTCCTCGTAGATGAGCCGAGCCTTCTCATCCACCACGTGCTGGTTGGCCTCTGCTTTCAGCTCCTCGCAGGCCAGCCAGAAGAGCATGTTCTCCTCGCTGTACTCAGTGCGCAGGAATGCCCGGAACACACTGCGGCCCGCTGGGCTGTGCATCAGCTTGTCAAAGGACTGAGCCCAGCTCTGTACCTCTTCCGGGCTTGGGGGGGTGCTGTGGGCATTGGGGCCAGACCATGTCAAGCCCAAGGGACACACATGCACAAACCCACACACCCACACATGGCAGCAGCTAGACTCACCAAGCTTCGCAACTGGGGAGGGGCTGCAGCTTGCTCTCCCGGGAGGCCTGCCATGCTCGCCGCCGCTCTTGGTTCCTAGTGGCAAAGGAAGGTGACACTGCCCTATGCCCCAGGGCCTGCACATGCCACTGCAGCCACATGTGGGCTTTGGCACATGGGTAAGCACGACACATGGATGCCCAGCACACACACACACACACACACACACACACACACACACGCTGCTGCAGGGAGGGCTTTTACACTCCAGTGGGCCCTTTACACTCTTAACCTCCCTCCCCACCCTACACACACTGAATCTGCTTGTCCAGGTGGCTGTCCTAGCCACAGCCTAAGCCCTCTTTTTCTTGCTCATGTTGGACTGCATGTGCTTCTGGGACTCTTCAATGTCCTCGTGCCCTTCTCTCTCCCTGGCCTATTAGGGAAGAACTTGCTCCTCAACCTTGACCTAAGGTTCATCCCCCTTACCCCACTTTTTTTTTTTTTTTTTGGCAGTACTGGACTTTGAACTCAGGGCCTGGTGCTTGCTAGGCAAATGCTCTACCACTTAAGCCATGCTCACAACCCTTTTTCTTTTTGCTTTTGTGGTACCGGGGCTTGAACTCAGGGCCTACACCTTGAGCCACTCCACCAGCCCCTTTTTGTGTTAGGTATTTTTGATAGGGTCTCACAAACTATTTGCCTCTGCTGGCTTTGAACTTTCATCCTCCTGATTTCTACCTTCTGAGTAGCTAGGATTATAGGCGTGAGCCACTGGTGCCCGGTGCCCCCAACCATTTTTGCTTTAGTTATTTTTCAGATAGGATCTCAAGCTTTTTGTCCCAGCCAGCCTCAGACTGAGATCCTCCTACCCAAGTAGTAGGGATTACAGAAGCACACCACTACGCCCAGTATATCCCTTTCTTGAGGAGGCCACTAACAGATCCACACTGCAATGTGGATTGCCTAATGTCAGCAATGTGACTTGCTGGCTAATGCAGGGTAACAGCTCCTGCCTACATGTCTACACCTATCTGGTCCTGGATCCTGACCCCTGGCTCTCTGTAAGGGGAACCTCCCGTCTCTGTTGGTCCATGCCCACCTGGCCACTCTGCCAGCTGACAGATATCTCAGACCCAAAGGTCTGGACCATGTCCAGCTCCTCAGCAGCAACACAGCCCAAGCCTCCTCACCTTGTCCCGTCCTTTGGATACAAAGCCAAACTCCCCGTGAGCCCTAACTAAACATACCCCATCTTTATCTTGTCTGGGCTCAGGTCTCAGTAGCTTACTGATTAGGTTAGAACCCACTTTTGCATCTCTAAGCTTGTGTAGGGGCCAGGCCTCTCTGTAAGGCAGGAAATGTACACAAGCTTTCCTACACTGGTAGGACATCCTATTTACTACTTGAAGGCCACTCTTGCCCTCAAGCAGAGGCCCAAAGACTCCCCAGTACCTTTTGTGCCCTAGAGCCAGCTGCTCTGTCTCAGCTCAAATGTGCCCCCCATTGTACAAAATCTAGAGAGTTTGAGCCTAGCTTGTTCTACCACAGTTCCAAAGGGTCCAGGTTGGGGGCGCACAGTGGCATTGACAGGTATGTGTTCAGTGCATGGGTGCCCTGTACATGCAGCAAGCTTGCATATGGGTAGAACTTCTGCACATAGGTACAAGAGCTACACAAAGACCCCTGAGGGGCCTGCGTGCTAACCAGCAGCCACCAGGGTCCAGCAGCCCCTTATAGTGCTCTAAGGTGGTAGGGACAATTGTCTTCAGGTGATGCCTTGGAGACACCAGAGGGTGTGGGGAGCAGGACCCTGTTCTGTCCCTCCCAGTCCCACGTACCCTGTTCTGCCCCCATGAGCTATGTCCCCCCCCTCCACCTCCAGGACCACATACCAGGAGCAGCTGCAGCAGCAGCACCAGCACAAGCAGCAAGGATTGCGGCTGGGGGCTGGTGGGGGTGCTGTGTCATGGTTGGACATCGAGGGGGGCCTGTCCGCCTCCTCTGGCCCTGTATGCTGGGGAAGATGGGGCCTCCTCAGCCTCCAGGCCAGAACCCTGTACCCCTGCCCACTCCGCCCCAGTGGTTGGGCTCCTAAGGGCATGACCCTTTGGCCCCCAGGTGTCTAGGAAATGGCGTACCTGCTTCTCAGCCTCATGCGGGGTGGGCATGGGTGGGTGGAAGGGGTCGCCCAGGCTCCGTGGTGCCAGCTCTGGACCCTCACCACAGCCTGGGGGGTTAGGGAGAGGAGCCGAGTTCTGACTGAGCACCTGTGACCTGTTCCCCTTCCCCCCCAACTCCCCTTCAGCGATCCTGAGAGGATCTCTTCTCTGTTCACCAAGCCCTGCCCACCCAACCTGAGTACATGGGCACTCTGACTCCACCCCAGCCCACACCAGGGTTGTGAGGAGGTCCAGGTTAGTGTAGAGGAGGCTGCAGCAGTTTCTTTAGCTCCTCATTTCAGGTTGGGTCTCATCTGAGACCCACATGGGATTCTGGACACCCCCATTCGCTCAGTCCCTGGGAAGCCGGAAGCCTGGGTTCCTCTTTCTTGGCTTCCGGCTCCTGGCCCCTCCCAAGGGGGCTGAGGCTTCAGGCTGGTGCATGGGTATCAGACATTCCAAGCCACTTCCTCCCTCTAGGGTGCTTCTGCCTCAGACTGTGGGCAGGGAGGTGGGTATAGGTACTTCACAAGAAGAGAGGCCTGAGGACAGCTAGGGGCCTTGGGGACTTGAGTGGGACTCTGGGCTGGGCCTCCTGGGGGTGCAAAGCATGGGGACTGCACTAGTGAGGAATGTGTACCCAGGGAACAAGGTTCTTTGGTCCTCAGCTGCCCCCGACAACCCCCATCTTCACCTGGGTTTTCTTTCATTCTTGCATAGGGTTTCCAGGTTGCAAAACCTGTAGGAGTCCTAGCCCAGGAAGTTGGGGCAGCAATGTTGGGGGTTGAAACCTCAGGAGGTCTCTACTGGGGGTTCAGTGGTTGGGTTCTCCCTTCCCAGAGTTTGAGCTACACCCTCACAGGAGAGTTCCAGGGTGCTCCCCCAAGTCACCTCAAATCCCGGTGTTTGGGAGGGGGACGATGGAGCAAGGTGGCCAATCAGCATCCTGGAAACAGTTTTGAATGCCCTCCCCCAGGCCTGGAGCCCTTTTCTCGTGTCTACCCCTTCCCTTTCAGAAGTCAGGGGCTCACAGTCTGTTTGCGTTCTCATTTAATTTCCATCCTCCTGCTGCCCCTCCCGCTTTTCATCCTGTTTCCTCCCAGTTTGGCCTCTCCAGTCTCTCAGGACTCCTTGAGTGGTGGCTAGGAGGAGACAGTGCCTCAAGTTCTGCACACTTAGGGCACCTCACTACCTGCCTGGCTTCCTTTGAGATGGTAGGTCCCACAGGCTCCCAAGGAGCAGAGCTGAAGGGAACATAGAAGTAGCCCACAGCTGGGCTTCCCTCCCCATCAAGCTTCTAGGGAAAGGAAGGGGCGTGGCAGCCTGAGGTCCGGTGGCTACCCAGAACTCCTCTTCCTCCTCTACACCCCCACCCTGCAGACAGTCCCTTGGAGGCTCCATCTCCAACCAGTTCTGAATTGGAGGAGACAGTGTGGGGTGTGGGGTCTGTGGTCTGCTGGGGCCAGCTTGGTGCGGAGGTGGGAGTCAGCCACTCTTCCCAGCTGCAGGCACCCCTGGGCTGCCTCCCTTCTCTCTGGGGGGGGGGGCCACAGGATCTGAATTAAGGTCATCCTGCCCCTCATCCTGTTTTTGAGGTGCTCCTCTCCTTTCCCAGTCCCCAGGCTTTGGCCCTCAAGCTTGGACTGGGAGAGGCCAGACAGGCGGCAAGTCTGATCTCTGGGGACAGAAGCTCCCCGGGGAGTGGCTGCCGTCCTGCTCCACAGAAGGAAAAAGAACGATGAAGCCCGCCCAGTCCAAAAAAAGAATAAGGAAATATGACAATCCCAGAAAAGTGTCATACCTTTGGGAGGAGGGCTGACAGAGGAGTTCCATTCCCACTTCTACCCAGTACCTTTCTTTTCTGTAGCCCCAACCGGCTTCTCCACGGCAGGACAGGCCTCCCTAGCCTCAGCAACTCTGGTTGGACTTCCCACTAACCTCACGCTTTTTGCCGGTGGGGTCGTCTGGAGGGCTTGTTCTCAGGCCCTTTTCCCCAGCCTCTGACGCCCCCACCCCTTCCTTAAGGAACTCGCCATGGCGCTCCACTCACCAGCGACCCAAAGGCGGGTGGGAGCAAAAGGGCCGGGCCCGGTGTGGGCCCCACCCTGGCTGTCGAAGGGGCGTGCTCTGCAGTAGCAGGGACTCAAGTCAGACAGCAGGAGGTACTCCTGCGGCGTTCTGGAGGGAGGAGGGCGCGCGGAGTCCTGCTCGGCTGGGGCCGGGGGCGCAGCGCCTCCCCTGTGGCTTGCAGGGCCGAGTGGCAGCAGACCCAACGCACCGGGCGGGGGCTGACGGGGTGTCCCGCCCGGCCCCTCCCCACCAGGCTAGAGGGGTGGCAGACGCGGAAACCTGGGTTCTTCCGGCCCCCACTTTTGAGCAATCACTTCCCCACGCTCTGAGCTGCAGAAAAAAGGGGAACTCTGCTGCGGCGCCCCCTCCCCCACACGCGGGGGACGGGCTTAGGTCCCACCGCAGCTCAGGTCCACGTGGACCGCTGCCGGAGTCCGAGAGCCGAGCCGCCGCCCGCTCCGCTGGTCCCGCTCGCACCTCTGCGACCCGCCCGCAGTTCGGCGCCGCGCGCGCACTCACCGCCGCGCTCCCGCGCCGCCACCGCCCGCGCGCTCCGAGGTCCGGCCGTTCTCCGGGGAGGGGGCGCAGGCGCAGTGCGCAGGCGCCTCGGCGGCACTTCCCCAAAGCGAGGGGCCGGGACTTCCTCGAGTCGGGAGCGCCCCGCCCCGCGCTCCGTGCCCGCGCCCCACCCGCTGGCCGCACGTCGCTTGGCTGTGGCTCGGTGGCCCCCGGAGGTGAGGCGCGCAGACATCTGCCGAGCTGGAGTCCAGCTCTGGTCAGCGGGGCCCTTCCAGCCTTTCCATCCAGGCGCTCATTTAGTGTGGGGCACCAGAGCCGATCCCACGCACTACTTGATCTGCTTGAGCAACAAGAGGCTTCTGGGAAGGACTGGCCGGTGGGACTGCCCGCCTGTCTGACCTTTCGCCTTCTTGAGCCTCCTCTGTAAAATGGGGTCAAGGGCCTGTCACCTTACTTTGGAGCCTTCCCAAGGAAGGAGGGAGGTTCCTGAGCTGCAGCACGGTGGACACTGGGGGTGCAAATGTTTACATCCAGTCACTCAGAATTTCCCCTGGGACTTGGCGAGTCCCTGCTGATCCCTCAAGCTTCTCCAAGATAGCCTTTGCCAAAAATGCCCTCTTCGGCCAACTCTCCTGTTCTTTTCTGATGGGTGCAGACCGTGAGTTCATTATCCCAGTGTACTCTGGTCCTGTGACCCTGCTCTGGAAGTGGTCTGCAGAGCATCTGTGATCCCCTTGGGTCACTTGGCTCCTGCCCTCCGTAGTACAGGGACACAGCCTGGCCAGTTCTAGGTGTCAGGGTCCTGTTCACAAAATGCCTTCCAATTGCACAAGTCATATGTGCACACTCCACAAAGCTCTGAGATGCAAAGCCAAGTGGAGATATCACAGAAGCTTTTCATTCATTTGGCAAGTATCTGAGGTTCCCTGTGTGCTAGGCAGTGAGCCATACAGACCAGTCTGGAGCTGTTGGGGGCAGAGGTAGGGGAGTGGGTTGGCAGACAAGAAATGGACAAGGTGAGAGATGAGGAGGGCTGAAGAGTACAGTGTCTTCAGGGGGTTTGGCTGAACAAAGAGTAGTGGGTGAGCACCTGGGGGCTGCCAAGCTGCCTTCAATGTTGTGTGCCCAGGGCCTGGTGACTTGATCACAGAACTGACTGCTAAGTTGATGTTACATGCAGAGCAGAGTCCAGAAAGCCCGCCAGAACTGGAGGCAGCTGCTTTTTAGTCCAGATAACAGTCCTGAGAGGTAGGTACAGGTGAGGGCAGGGAGGTCCAGCAGAAATGGGCCAGTACCTGATGAGGCCACACAACCAGGTTGATCATACAGCTTGGCATTGTCTTTCCGCTGTGGGGAAATGTGTTGGCAACTTCCAGTGGGTGGGGGTCATTATACTCCCCCCTCTTGGGTCACTCTATATCTCTCTTTCTCCTTTGTCCTCTGGCACCTCAGACCTGTTCTCTACTCCCTCAGCCTCTGCTCCTTGGCACAGAGCATGTTCAAAAATCTAGGAAAGAGCCCAGGAGAGCTGGGAAAGTGTAGTGGGAAGAGCACTTGAACTGTGCTCCACAGTATGATTCCCAGCTCCTCAAAGGCCCTACTGTATTAGCCTAGCACCACAGGTTTTCTTCCTGCAAGCAGAGGAAGCCCAGTCCTCTGCCACCTTCCCTAGCCTTTTCTTCAGACCCAGTCCCTCCCTGTGTGGGGATCAAGGGGCACCCTATGCCATCCCAATATCTGATGCAGAGTTGCCTCAGACCACTGTCTTGCTCGCCTTCTCAGGGTGCTGGACTTTTTCCCAACCCTCTGCCCTCGTGCTCATGTAGAGCACTCACTGTGTGGGGTGCTATGCTGAGACCCTTAAGCATTTGTGAGATTCCCATATTTAAGATGAAGAAACCCAGAGTCAGAGAAGTGATGAAACAATGTGTGACTTTACTAAGCAGACAAAATCCTCCCAGGCATTCAGTAAATCCCCAGAGACAAAATCCTGGGGTACAGATTTCAGGAATCTTGGCCAGAGGAGTCCAGGGTTGGCTGTCATACTGTGCCACTGACTCTTCAGAGGCACACATCAGGGTGTGAGTGGCCACCACTCCTGGATGAAGAGACAGCTTCCCCTTCCCTGTCTGTTTTCCCCTGCCAAGCCCACCATCTCTCTGCCTCTCTTCTCCCTCCCCCACCCCTTGTTTCTCTTCTCTTCCCCTGGGAGCTGCTGCTGACCTGTGAGCTCTGCACAGTGTGGGCTTGAATCAAGGTCCAGAACAAAAACAGGCCAAAAAAGGTAAAGGGTCACGTTGGGGGGCGGGGAGGAGAAGGGCCAACTGAAGGGACAGAAAGCTGGGGACTGGTCACCAGTAAGCAGGATTCCTTGTTGGACCCCAGCTCAGACCTCTACCTTTCCTACTAGATCTGTCCTCTGTTCCAGGCAGAACCAGTGGGAGTCCCCTGGTAGAGGCATGGTTGTCTGGTTTCCTGCAGCTCCTACCTCTATTCATCTGCTGGCAGGGGCTAGGAGGGAGGTAAGGGAGAGGGACCAAGAGGAGCCTCAGGTTCTGCAAAGAGCCCATAAGAGAGAAGAGGAACAGCTGTCCAGAACCTGGGGAGTTTTCAGAGCCCAGCAGTCGGAATGGGAAGCTATGGCTTCCTTTCTGTGCTGCATGTATGGTGGGGACAGTGGGGACCAAGTGCACAGGAGGCTATTCATGGATGAAAGGAAGGCTAGAGGATGGGCTTTCTGTCCTGGCATGCAGGGGCCTGGGGCACCCTCCTACAGTCTCTTGGTCCTCTGGGCACTGCTGGCCACTCTCCAAAGGCCATCGTTGGCTTGTGAAGTTACTCCCTCTCCTAGAATGCTGCTCGGACCTCTTAAGGGATGACTTTAACAGCCCTGCCTTCTGGGGGTGCTGGAGCTGGGGCAGGCTCTTCCTCTTGCCCTGCTATACACCAGGGGCGTCTATGGTCCAGGAGGGCATCAGGTGCCTGATGGAGGCAGGCTGGAGTTCGGAGATAGGGGTGTTCCCGTGCCCCATTACCTTGTTACACCTACTAGCAACTTCTTACTTTGTCAGGGTAGCTCTACTCCTGTGTCCCGCTCTCTGTGACTGGGATGTGGGAGAGGCAATGTCCATACTGGCCTCTTCCCTTCTGGGGCGTAGGGAAGAATGACAGGGAAGACCAAAGAGCCCTGGAAAAAGAACTTTATATGTTAGGGTGGGGCACAGCCGCACGCCTATGTCGCTGTCATCGCGGGAAGATTCTGTCATCCACGGCCTCTTCCAGGATGGTCTCCACGCGCCTCCGCTGTAGGGAGAGGGGTTGGGGCCGGTGTGTGCAGAAGCGCGGAGCCCTCCCACCTTCCCGGGGCTTGCTGGCACCTCTTGCCGGTTCAGAGGGTCTGGGATCCGCGTGGGCTTCAGCTGTGGTGGCAGGAACAGCTCGAGTCGCATGGCGGCGCGCGCGGAGTCCTGACGCTGGATCAGGAGCGCGATTTCCTCTGCCTGCGGGCGGGAGCTGGCTGAGCTGCACCGCACAGCGCCCCAGCTGCGCCCCGGCTGTGCCCAGCCATCTACCCCCTCCCGCAGGCTCGGCCGGTCTTCTCTGCCGCGGTGCGGCGTCCTCGGATTCCTGCTCACCCGCATGCGAGTGTAGCGCAGCCGCAGGGCGCGGACTCGGCCGCGGGCCTCAGCTGCCCTGAGGACTCCCAGCAGTCGGTTCTGGCGTTCTGCCGGCAGTTCGCGTGACTGCGTCCAGATGCCGGGGTCTGGCATGCGGTACGGCACCTCCACCAACCCGCTGGGGAAAATGGAGGCGGCCGCGCCCACGTCCTCAAGCAGGTCGCCAAACAGCAGGTGGCGGCGGCGCTGCGTGGGGGGCAAGCTCGCCAGCCCTTGCAGCGTCAGGGCCCAGCCCGGCCGAGGGGGCTCCATCGGGGGCTTGCCTCGCGTGCGTTTCTCACCGGGCCCGGCTCCCGGCGTGCGTTTCCCGGCCCGATCCCGAGCCGCGCCCTTCGCCGGCGGAGGCGGCATCCCGCACCTGTGGAGGGAAGTGGAAACTTCCGCTGCTTGGGCTTCAGTTCTGTCCCTGCGGGTCTTTCCGCAGCCACCTTAAGACACTGTACCTCTGGCTTCCGCCCCTTTGAGGGAGCGCCTTCCTGTAGTTACTACACGTTCTCATCAGCTCAGGCCCTTCGCTGATCCGACTCAGACCTGCAGTCGGCTAGGACTGCCTGATCCACTCAAAAGTTTTTAGGAATTGCCCTTCCTGCCCCATAGTTTCTTTCTTTTCACGCTTGCTAGGCAGGTGCTCTACCACTTGAGCCACTCCACCAGCCCCTACCCGATGTTTTGATTGAATTGAGGAAAGACTGAGACCCCCTGCACCAATCTCAGGCTTTTAGGCATGGGACTGCCCTGGTTGAGGTTTGTGGACCTCTGGTGTGCTTCATGGTCCTCATGTCTGCGGTCACCGGTCATTCAGCGACTACTCCTCTTCCCCACTCCAGTGAACTCCCGGGAACTGGTCTGGTCTGTCCTGCCCCAGGATCGGTCCCATGACTCCAAGGCCTTTGTGTTGGAGGTGGGGGTGAAGGGCATGGGTTTTCATGGTATCTTGAGCAGAGGACCTTGTGTGTGTGTGTGTGTGTGTGTATGTGCTCATGCCTGTGTGGTGTGCACGTGTGTCTGTTGGGGAGGTTCTTTGTAGCTATGTGTGTGTCTGGGTCCCTGTGTACTGTTCCTGGGAGGAACAGTGAACTGGCTCCCTTCCCTCCTCCTGGCCTGTCCCTTGATGGGCCTAGATGTGGGGAGCAGAGTTTAGGGAGGAGGTGACAGAGGGGGAATGTCCCACTAGGGAGGGGCAAGGAAACCCAGCCCAGATCCTTTTTGTCCCCAGCACACAGCACTTCCATGCTGCCCTTTGGCTAGGTCCTGGCTCACTGTAGCAGAGCTACAGTTCTGTATCCTCTCACAAACTCACCGTCTCCCCACTCAGATCAGCTCCAGCCCCTGCCCCTGCCCCTGCTTATCACACCTCTGCCTTCCCTTCCTCTTGGGAACCTCCACCTCAGTCTGGACTCTTCTGGGCTTGTTGACGCTGTTACCCGGCAACTTGGAGCCCCGCCTCAATCCTAACTAGGTGGGGGAGGGGCGGGCCCTCCTGATGGGTCTGGGCGGAACCAGGGCTGAGAGTGTGTCTGAGGGTGAGATGTCCACTCAGGGCTCGAAGTCACCCTCCCACTGAAGTGACTGCTACTTATTCAAAACCTGAGCTTCCTCGACACACTGTTTAGGGCTGTGGCTAGGTCTGTTGGACTAGTTTCCTGGGCAGGGGCTCAGTTATGGAAGACCTTTGTGGCTGAGGCCTGTCTGCTACCCTGGGACAGAACGCAAAACCTTTTATACGTCAAGTTGGGGATCTCAGGAGTCCAGAGGTCTCTCAAGATGAGAGTTGGGTTTGCTGAACTCTAAGTCTCTGAGCCTTGGGCCATAGGTCTCAGATTTCTACACTCTATTTGTGCATTCATTAATTTAATGATATTTTATAACTACTGTGATTCACTTCTAATTAATTAATTCTATAATTTATTCATACATTAATAAATATATTAACACGATGGGCAAGGTGGTTTATGCCTGTAATCCCAGCTACAAAGGGAGCATAGTTAGGAGGATCTTGGTCTGAGGCCTATTTAAAAAGTAACTAAAGCAAAAGGTCTGGGGGCAAAGTTCAAGTTGTAGAGCACTGCCTAGCAAGGACCAGACTCTGAGTTCAAACTCAAGTACTATCAAAAAAAATATATTCACATGCTCATCCCACACATACTAGTAAAATTAGTGTACTAAGTCCATAATCTGCTAACGTGTGCTACTTGCAGGGCCTGTGTATGCATAATTCTTGCCTTCATTCCTAGATGGGTGGATGACACACCTTCTGGAGAGAGGAGCCTGAGTGCCTGCAGCTGGACCCTCCTGGCTCAGGGGTGGGACTCAGCTGAGATTTTGGCCTTTAAGCAGGAGGCTGTTGACTGTTCCCATTATTTTTGGAAGTTTGCCCTGGCTTCTTGATGAGAGGCTGAATTATGACTCTGCAACACTGGGTTCCCAAGTCTGCATTCCCCTCTTCACAACTGGGTGGAATGAGGGTCCCTCTTTCAAGTTCCCAAGCCTCTACGCAAGCAGTGTTCCCAAGGAAGTTCATTTGGAGCACCCCTCTCCCAGCATGTGTCACTGGGGTGTGCTTTGAGGTGTGGACACAGCTTCAACACCAACCCAGGACTGCTGAGGAAGGTCCCTGGGCTCAGGAGGAAGCAGAAATCCTGAGGAGGCACACCAGCAGGCCAACTCCTCCAAGCAGACTTCCTGGACATACAATGCCCAGGTTGGGGATGCTCTGTGCTCCCACAGATAAGTCATTTGAGATTGGGACTCAGACCCTCTTCTTAGCCTCCCAGGGTCCAGGTCAGGAGGACACATGGAGAGGGACTTTCTGGTGGGAGGGGGTTACACAGGGAGCAGGGGAATATTTGGTTCTCCTATGAGAAGGGGCTTTTATCTATTCCTCTGTTTTTTGTGGGCTTGGAAAACATTGATGCTCCCTCCCCTTATTCCCAGCAAGGAACCTAAAGGGACCAGTGCATTTTGGGGTACAGTTAACCCTGTGGGGAGGCAATCCCCACTTGTTTTGGGCCCAGCTGCTGTTTCTATGACCCAGTCATATGTGTTCTTCAAGGGCTAATGGAAATCTGAAACCATGCTTATTGGCACAAAGGTCTGAAAATAAAACTTTGAAATAAAATTAATGAGCTTTACAAGATGTCCCACAACTGATGAATGGATTAAGAAAATGTGGATTTATGTATGATGGAATTTTATTCAGCGATAAAGAATGAAGTTTTGTTGTTTGCAGGTGAACGAATGGAACTGCAGAACATCATCTTAAGTGAAGTAAGCCAGGTTCAGAAGGCCAAAGGCTGTGTGTTTTCTCTCATATGTGGAATATAGACCCAATACGAATACAAACAATATTATAAAAAACAGGTCACGGTAAGGGGAGGTCACTAACAAGAGAGGGAGAGTAAAAGAGGGAAGTTAAGAAGGTGAATATGGTTGATGTACTTTCTATACAAGAATGAATATAGAATTTTTAAACCTGTTGAAATCACCAGAAGAAGAGGACTAAGGTAGAAAGGAGAAAAGTAGAGGGATGAACCAATTTGGGTTATAATAACATATACATGTGGAAATGTCACAGTGAAACTCCCTATATAGTTATCTTAAACAAATAAAAATGTCTTTTTCAAAAATGGAAAACAGGAGGTAAAATAGGCCCTGTTTGGGAGTTGGAACCAGTGGGAGGGGGAGGATAAAGGAAAGGATGAAGAAGTATTATGCACTCATGCATGAAAATGGAAAAATGACTCCTGTTGAAACTATTCCTAGGAAGGGGGTGATAAAGGAGAATGATGGAGGGGTTAAATTCAATGATTATATATTGTAAGAACTTTTGTGAATATCACAATGTATCCCCAGCACAACAATTAAAAAAAAGAAACTTAAAGAAAAGAAAAACAGCTTAAAAATAATAAAAAAAGGACTGGTAAAAAAAATAAAATTAAAAATAAAATTAGTGAGCTTTATTAAATAATTGCCTAACTTAATATTTTACTAAAAAGCTGCACTTTGGGCTGGTGGAGTGGCTCAGGTGGTAGGAGTGCCAGCCTAGCAAGTGTGAGGTCCTGAATTCAAACCCCAGTATTGCACACACAAAAAAAGCTGTGACTGCCAAGTGCTGGTGTCTCACAGCTGTAATCCTTCTCCTTGGGAGGCTGAGACCAGGAAGATCGCAGTTTGAGGCTAGCTTGGGTAAATAGTTCACGAGACCCCTATCTCCAAAATAACCAGAATAAAATGGACTGGAGGTGTGGCTTAAATGGTATAGTGCCTGTGTGAAGCCCTGAGTTCAAACCCTGTTTCCACCAAAAAAACTCCAAGACAAACAAAATCTCCAACTCAGTTATTTTATTTCATATATATATATGTATTATTTCATATATATATATTTGTACATATATATAAAATTTTGGGGGGGGTGATGCTGGGGCCGCATTGTTCTAGAAAGCATTCTATTATGGACTTCAAGCTTTTTACAAAAATTTTATAAAGTTAAAATCACAAGGCTGAAGTGACTTACTTTAATGAAACTGAGAATTGTTAAAATCGCTTTTTAATAACATGAGAGGTTGATTGTGGCTTGGCAACTGAATTCCCTGGGTAGCGGCTGTTCCATGTTGGCCACCAAATCATTGATCTGATTCTTGTGCCCCATGTCCAGGGCATGGGCCAGGAGAGTGTGGGGCGGGGAGGAGTGGAGAGCACTTCTGTCTAGGTGGTGAGGCTGGAGCTCCAGTCTGCCATCTGGTCCACAGGCTCTGGGGCACTGGGTAGGAGAGTGAGTATACCTGCTGGGTACATATCTCATTCTGCACCCAGGCCTGCCCAGGTACCCATGTCACCCATGTGCAGCCTTCAGCAGCTTCAACCATGACCTGTGGACATGTGTTCTGTGCTGACATTCATAGGAGCTTTGTGTCTTGGGCTGTCCATGGTGTCTCTGCATGTTTTGTTTTGACTGCCTATGACATGTACATCTTCTGTACATACTCTCATATAATATGTCTCCTTCTGACCCTGACATATATGTACTGTGTTGGATTCTGCCTCTGCCTTTGCCTTTTGGGAGGAGCCACTTGCCTTTGCTGAATTCCTGTCAGAGGTCAAGAGAAGCCTGAACTACTTCCTTTGCACTGCCAGTCCCCATCCTAGCCATCTACTCATCAGGTGTCCAAGCCTGTCCTTACGCCTGAGACCACCTGGTTTCAGTGCCAGGTTTCATTGACTCACACTCATAGAGACTTGAACTCACAGATGCACCTGGTAGCAGTGTAACTGAATTGAAGCTGAAGCTGTGTGGCTGGGCCAAGGGTTTCCAGGGCTAGGGGCAGGAGCAGGAGCAGGGGCAGGGAGGGCTT